CTAGCTTAAGGTACTTCTTAATGCCTGCCTACTTTTACTTGCTTATTTAGTTAAGAAGGTCAGTTTTCTAGGAGCTTATAATAAGGTCCTTAAGTATTTTAACCTCTTTACTAGCAAGACTATTATAATAGATAAAGGATTGCCCTTGCCTTATCTATATAAGGTTATCCTTAATACTAGCCAGGGGGATTATAAAGCGCTTATTATTACCCTCCTTAAATATTAGCTAACCCTAGAAGAGGTCCTTAATATTAGCTGTTATCTTAGCTATTATAGTCTAGAGGTCTTCTATTAAGATTAGCCTGCCTATAAAGTATATTATCTTACCTTACTTACTTTAAGATATTATAAGCCTGCTCCCTATCTCCCTTATAATCTTCTTCTTAAATAAGAGTAAGCTTAATATATAACTTATAGGTAAGTATATAGCCTTATAGAGCTAGGCATCCCAGACCTAGGCAAATCGTTAGGTAAGGTCTTTTATGCCGTCCTGCTCCTAGGTAAGTATAGCCTACTCCCCTAATAGCGCCTATCCTGTAAAGATAAGACTGGTAAGTATGTAGGTAAATAGGTAGGCCGGTTGCAGCTGCCCTATCTTGCCATTAATCCCTAGCATGCTAATAAAGTGCTATAGCAGGCTTGCGAAAGGGTCCCTATCAAGCCGCTGTATCTAGAAGCCTGCTAAGACCTATAATATCTGCTCTTATAGGCCCTTATTGCTATTAGGGCTATTATAGCGGCTGCTTAATAGCCTGCCCCCCTTAATCTTGTCCTCCTTTGCCTTATTATTATCTCCCTTAATCTCTTTATCTTTCTCCTCTTATAGATAGGCCTAAAGCTTTTTAAGGTTAGCCCTTTACTTTAATATAAAGTAAAAGCTATAGTTAGCTAGGAGGACCTCTTCTTTTAGTAATAATATATTAAGATAGTAATACAAAAAGCGTTTTATATAGCCTAGGTACTAGTTTATATTAGTTTTCTCTTATAGCGGCCTAAATAGTTAGTTATAGGCATTATAAGGGTATAGGCTAGCTAGTAGTAGTTGGGTTATTAAGGGCATGCTCTTTAGTCTGCTAATATAGTAGTTAAAGAAGAGTTAATTTAGAGCTTTATTTATATACTATAGTACCTTATTATTACCTTTATTGCCTTAGCTAGGTATCTTATTATAGGCCTAAATATCTATTAGGTTCTTATTAGTAAAGTAGGCTAACTAGCTAATTTGCTTTAGTTAGTTAGTTATCTTATACCTTAAGATACCTTTATTTATAACCTTTTATATCTCTTCTTATTTCTCTTGCTATAGTAACTATCCTTTAGTAATATAGGCAATTATTATTTAGTCTTCTAGCTAGGTAACTATTATTACTCTTCTTCCTCTTCTCCTTCTTCTTTTACTTCCCTCCCCTTCCTCCCTCTCTCCTTCCCCTCTTCTTACTTTATAAATACAGAAGTAATAGATTGCCCTCTTTAAACTAGTAAAGAAGGTCTATAAATATATAGTAGCCTAGAGGTCTGCCTAGGTCTTCCTCTTAGCTACCTTAGTATTATGCTTATTATTAAAGTATATATATAGGCACTTCTAGCTTAGCATAAGGTACCTGCAGCCTGGCTAGGTATATGCAAAACTATAGTAAATAGGGAGACCCTTAACAGGCTTAGCCAGGTTAGATAAGCCATGCCTAGCTAGTTAATCCTCTTTTAGCCCCTTTTCTAGTAGTATTAGTAGCAGGCCCTTATAATAGTAAATAAGATTACTGCAGACTTAATAGCTAAGATTTAAGTAGCAATCCTTTAGATAGCCTTTTAAGTTATAGAAACAGACTACATAGCTATAAAAGGCATAAATTAGTAATTAATATTCTTTATTATAAAGAAGCCACCTTTCTTTGCCCTTTTTTCTTTCTAGCCTGCCTATTCTTCTCCCTATTGCCTAGGTATTGCTATTAGTATTACTAGGTAGTAAGTCTGGCAGGTGCTATTAGGCTATTATAGCTATAGTTAATTGGTTAGGTTATATATATAGTTAGATAAATTAAGCTAGTTAGTTATAGCCTTTTTAAATTAAAATAAGATAGAGAGAAAAAGAGAGAGGTAGTATAAATAGATAGATAAACTATCTTAGCCTCTTTTTTTCCTTTTCTATCTTATATTATCTATTTATCTTTCTTTTCTTACTTTACTTTTTCTATTTTTTTATTTCCTATCCTGGTTTACCCTAGATTAAAGTAAAGACTTAGGGTTAACTTTAAGTTTATAATTAGCTGCTTATAAGGTTAGTAGTTTAGGGTTAGTAGTTTAGCCCCCCTGTTATCTGTCCTATCTCTACCAGATAGGGTTTCCCTATATTATTATTGGCCTATGCCATTTTCGGAGGTTAGCAGTTTGGCCTAAACTACTAACGGCCTAGCGGTTAGGATAATATCTATAGGGCTATTTACAGCCTTCTCTAGCAGCAGTACCTAGGTCTCGTTAGCGCCTCTGCACTTTAAGAAGAAGAGAGCATTAGAGCCCGTCTGCTTCTGCTTTTTATAAAGCCTAGCCCTCTTACCTATATTATTATATACATCTTAATTAAAATCCTCTTTAGTAAGATATAGGTTATTATCTATTACAGTTAAGATCTACCCCCTATTATAATAAAAGATAAACCTATAAATGCCATAATCCTTATTATAAGTAATATAAATCTTTTCTATTAGTTACTTTTAAAGGCATATAGATGCCAGTGCTGCAAGCTACTAACAGTTCCTGCAGGTTCCTTATTTAATATTTAAGATAAAGTTATTAGCAATAAATTTAGGGTTTTTAAAAATCTACAGTATATAATAAACCAAGCCTGGTTTTGCGTATTATTCCTTATTATTATTATTACAGGCTCTTTCAATACTAAATAGGCAATTGTAGTTATAGCTAGCAAAATCTTTCTTAATATTAAATTCCAGGTTACTAAATTTATTATTAGTTTGCTTGCACTCTTTAATAATAGCCCAAATATTAGATTAGCATTATTAGGCAGCTTCTTTATAACTTAAGGCTTTAGGCATAGGAGAAGGCAATTTGCTATCTATAAGTAACTTATAAAGTATAGGAGGTAATATAGAAATGACTTTATATAGAGCTTAGGAATGATAATTAGACTAAAATTTAAAAACAAGACTCTAAGGGCTAATTAGTTTTAGCTCTAACTGCTTGCTATTATGTAAGATAGAAAGAGAGATAATTAGGGGTTTTATACTATTACTTAACATACTTATATTATTTAGTTAAGAGTGGGAAAATAAAAGGGTTTAAGGGATAAATAGCTTATTGCAATGGGGTTAAAACCTTAAAAGCATAAAGCCATATGCCTAGTAATAGGAAGATAGGGTTAATTAAATTATATTATAGTTATATTAGCTACTAGTTAAAAACCCGGGAAACTGTTAAGGGCAGAAGTAGGAGGTAATAACTAGGTAATTTTCCAAAACCAGCATTCTGTTAATAGCGTCTAAGTACTGTTTTCTGTATCTAAGTACTTGTTCTGCCGCTCAGGACTGCCTGGGCTTCTCTATTTTGTTTAATTAGCTCGCGCAGTTCTTTTTTAGCCGAAATGGCCTACCCTAGAGCTCTCAAGACCTAGCAATCCCTACCAGAAAACTGTATTTCACATTACGTCAGAATAGATAAATAATAAGACGCCCTGGCTATTAGCCAAGGGAAGGGAGCGGTAATAATGGGAAGATAGGGTTAGTTGGGTTATATTGTTTTTTAAATCCTGAGTAATTATGTCCGCGCTAGACCTGTAATTTTATATTAGTTATTAATTAAAATCCAAGAAGGCAGAGTTAGGAAGTAGTAACTAAAACAATTTTCTAAAACCAGCATTCTGTTAATAATTAGAGTACTGTTTTTTAAATACAAGTTTTTATTCTGCTATTTAAGACTGCCTGTAATTTTCTACTTAATAGGTCTCTCTTACTAAAATTTAGGTCTTAAAAACCTATTAGTATAATGTTGCCTTGAATTTAACCTATACCTTAACTATTTCTAATTACTTTACTTCTTCTTTGCTATTTATTTTTCTTATATTAAATTAGCCCTCTAAAAAGGTCTACCCTAGGGGTTTCTAGTCCTGGCGACCTTAAAACCAAGCTCGATAAGAAACTTCATTAACTCGATGCGGGATGCTCGGATAACAATAGGGCCTAGCCTGTAGGCTTGAAAAGACAACAGCGTGCTCGTACCTGGTCGGTCAGTCTTTATAACGTCACTGTATAATAGGCATAGTCGCACTGTATTCCTTAGAGCTCTTCCTTCTGTTAGCGCTAGGAAAGTTTATTGGCTGCAGCCTCCCTACCGTTATTTAATCAAACTCGCCCGCATTAAGGAACGCTTATATAAAATATCCGTTTATTACATCTAGGGTGGTTTCGTGTAGATTCTTAAATTAGAAGTTATATAAGAGCTTATTATTCTTTACACTATCTTAGACTTAAAATACCTAGAAGTAGAGGAGATAGGAAAGGAGATTTGCATTATATATAAAGGAAGAGTTAAATTATAATCATAAATTAAGAATAAATATTAATTAATAGGTGAGGTTATATAGTTTAGGATAGAAAGACAAACGACATCCGCTTGAGGCCTATGCGCATATAATAAGGATAAGTAAACCAAGATCCTAGCAAGTAAATTCGCTTGCTAGTAAGTTCACTGTGAGTTCACGAGCTATAGCTCTTATAGAGCGAGGATATGGGCATGTTGTTCTTAACTAAAGATTATTAGTTGAGATAACGGAAAGCAGCCTAAGCTAGGTATAAAGGAGTAGTAACCTATTACTAGCATAAGCCTAGTAAATAAGTACGCGTTCTCTATAAACAAAAGATATATTATCTATCTTTCTTATAAGTAATATCCTTTTACTTATAGTAGCGTCGATCTTGCCGGACTTTTATTAAGCAAGCGATTATACCCCTGCTAATTATAATTAAGGAGCAGAAGCATTTGCAATCGCTGCACAGGCGCGGCGGAAGCGCCGTTGCGACCGTGGCCAACCTATAACTTGCGTATAGCTTAACGAGCGGCTAAACAATCCCAAGTGCGCAAGGTCTTCCAACCCAAGGCTGGAGAGTTATACCTTATTTATTGCAAATAGTCTTAGTGCTGGCTTGCTATACTCCTTCTTCTGCTTATAGATTTAAAGAGCATGGGTATCTTAGCGACTCTTAAAAGCTTAGGCCTCTCTTGTAAGGCGCCTAGCTATATTACCTATAACATTAACTCTAGAGAGTTCGAGTGGCAGGATAAGTATAGGGATAGCAGAAATCTTTTATATAAATATAAGTTCCCTATTATATATTTTTCTAGCTCTAAATTCCTAGAATATAGCATAATAGGGTAAGTTCTGGCAAAAGACCTATAGCTGTAAGATAAATCTATATTATAGCTATCTGCAGTCCTATATTGTGGTGTTGTAAGAGCTTTTATAAAGAGGCATACTTTACGTTATATCTTAAAAGACAAAGTAAGAGATTTAGATCCTTTATTAAGTATAATGCCTATTTGCTTAAGTTTATTATAGATGGTGATTAATCCCTAACTGTATAGGCAAACAGAACAAGAACCACATAGTGGTAATCCTACTATATCTTAAACTGCTAGCACTATATCCTATATATCCGAGCTCGCAAATCTATTAGCATATGCTATATACCTTAGACTTACTAGATTTCTATATCTTACCTAACTATATTAACATACTTAAGAAGACCGAAGATAATAGACTACCTCGTTTTACTGATATATATAAAAGCGAGTATGGGGCATGATTAGGGCTTTTTAAGTGGCTAGAGAACCTCTTATAGCGTCTTATTAATTAGCTTGCCGATAAGCCCCTAAACCCAGGGATTAGGCCGCTTTTATATAACTTTAAGAACCTGCAAGGATTACTTAGCTGCCTGTTATATTATAAGGTTAGAGAATTTTTATAAGTTATGCGTTTTATAAGGCATTTATTGCAGAAGTATTTATAATTATTTAGCTATTTTGCGATTCTATACTGTAAATCTAAATCCTAAAATACTATCTTTATATTAAGGATATCCTTTAAGAACCCCCTACTTACTTAATAAATATTATAGGATAAGGTTGCTGTTTTCTTGCACTCTATTTCTTCTGGCTTTTACTGGCATTTATTTAGCACTAGTTAAGCTAAGGGAGGTCTAGGTAGCTTAATAAGAACTGCCCTCTTAAAATCGATTATTATAACCCTTTTAACCTTGCAATTAAATAGCATATTTAAAAATAAAATATCCTTATAAACTACTCCCTCTTAGTATATGGCGCGTAATGCTGTAATAGCTATGTTCTAGAGATTTTTATTTATAAAGCTACTAGTCTTTAATGCGTTAGCAAGACTATCTCTGCCTTAAGATAAAAACATTATATATACCACGTAAACTCGATAAACAAAGTAGTAGATCTTATCTATTGCTTAAAGATTTATAGCACCTAGAAATACAGGCATATTATAACCTTAAAGTAGGCTTAAGCAGTTATATACTGCAGCCTTATGTATAAGATTGCTAATAAAGGCCTGCACTATGCCCTTACCGAGAAACATATAGCTATAGGCTAGTAGAGTAACTTGAAAAAGAATGCTGCAGGTATTACCTTGTCTTAATTGCGTGATTCCTTTATCTAATAATTGCTCTAGCTGTTTCTAGAGAAGCGTAAGCTATTTGCTATAACTGACGGGATAATATGCTTATATAGGGCGGTTACTGTAGTAGAGAGTAACATTAGGGTATTTAGGATTAAGGAAACCTCCCTACATTAGACCGAGAAGGCATTTTTAAATATAATACTGGCGACCTTATTAATAAATATCTTTACGGGGCTGCCTTGCTAGTTATTAGCTCTGCTGACTTGCTTATCCTGTACTTTATCTTGCTAGTGTAGGAGTATCTGGCGGCCTAATTAATTTGTTATTAGATGGTTCTTGCCTATTGTCCCTTCTTGATAATATTTTATCGATTTGCGGCTTAGTAGCTTGCTGTTTTCTTTTATATAAGAGGTATAATAATTGCTCGATATTGTTATAAGTAGTTAGTTAGTAATTAGGTAAATACTTTAATAATGCTAATTATTCGTTTTCTAGGATTAAGCATAATATTATCTTAAAATCTTCTGCCTATATTTTCAGGTTATTTATAACACTTTAATATTCTTCCTATCTATATTTATATTACTCCTTAAGTAAATTAAGTATTATTAGTATAAAGGTTAGGTATTAGCTAATAGCTATATAGATATAAAAGCTATTTAGATATACTAATACTTTATATTTAGGTTTTGCTAGATAATAAAGAAGAGTTTTAGGCTTATTTTAGTTAATCTTTAAGAAGATAGTAGCTTTGCTAATAGTTAGGTTATTATATTTAAGGCTACTCTTAATTATATAGTAATATATCTGTATAATAGTAGATATAGTTAGTCTTTCTGTATAATATTAAAATAGCATATTTAGGTTTATAGATATTAGGATAGTCTTGCGATTTATTACCTCCTTATAAATATCTATTAAATATAGACTAATCTGCAGATATTAAATAGTTAATTTATAAGGTAACTTATATTTAGAAATATATATTATTATACTTAGTCTAAAGGGTTTGTTATTAGATTGGGTAATATATATCTAATTTAGTTGCAGTTAGTTAAGATCTTGTTTATAATTCGGTATCTAGGGCATTGCTAGGGTCTCTCTTTTAACCACCTCCTCGGCAGTATTACTAAGAGTATAAGGATGATTCTTAAATATAATGCTATCTCCAATTTCGAAGGCTGCTGTAACCGTTTTAACCTCCTTAAGTTGTTATATAATGACCCTAACTAGATCCTTTATGCTGTTATATAAGAAGTACTTAAGTAACTTTTTATCTACTATCTGCTACTAGGAGACTTTATTACCTAGCCTGGCCAAGAAAGCACGGTTTTCGAAAACGTAGCTATTAATTAGGAATATATCATTAAGTATGCTAAAGGTAAGCCTTTATTTATAGATAAAATCGGTCCAAGGCTATAGGTTTTTAGGGCATTATTTATTATACAGGTTAGTAATAAAGCCCCTTAAAGACAGTTTTAAATCTGTTTTAATAGTAAATCTAGAGAAGATAGACATATGGCAGGCAGTAATATATTCTTTAATTATCATGCATTATATCTCTTCCTCTAATGCATTAGCGCGTTATCGCTCCTTCTTAGCGCATTATTATTTATCTTGCCGTTCCCTTTCTGCATCTTCGGCGTATTGCCGCTCCTTCTTAGCGCGTTGTCGTTCTTCTTGCCGTTCCCTCTCTGCATCGTCAGCATATCGACGTTCATCTTGCCGTTCTCTCTCTGCATCTTCGGCACGCTAGATAGCCTCTTGGAGAAGTCGCTCTAGCTCGTTTGCGCTCTTTCGGTCGGCCATTGGATATTTGCCGCGTGTTTTTAATGCAAATAATTAGTTTAGTGCGTCAGAATCGGTGCTTCTAATAAGTGCTAATAAACAGAGCTGCTATTGCTAAGGTAATGCCCTTATCAAGGGCGCGCGGATTGGTTAAGATTTAATAAATAAGCTTACTAATTAGGGGCAGCCTAAGAAGTAGAGAAAATGTTAGCTATGCCAGAATTAGATTACTATCTTTCTACCTGGCCTTTATGGGAAAAGTTTAGTAATTAATTATATTATAATATATAGGGAAGCTAGGGTCTTGTTTAAAAATAATATTTAATAATTAGGCTACCTCTAGAAGAATCTACTTAATAAAAATAAGTACCTATATTAAAATTTGCTAAGTCCTAGTTCTATTAATGCCGTTATTTTTAATTACCTTATCTAGCCACCAGCAGGCTTTAATTATTATAAAAATATAAAATCTTAGCTAGGCACTTTGCTAGGATTCTTATTGCTATTAATTAAAGGGTTATATTATTTACTTTTTTAAAATTATCTCTATAAAAAGACTTAGTTAGTCTAAGCCAGGATATAGATACCTGAGATAAAGGACTTATATAATTTATTTAGTAGAACTAAAGTATATTAGTATGAGAAGCGGTAATGGCTTATAAAGGCCTCCCTATATCCTGCTTAAGTATCTGCATTTCCTTAATTTATAATAAAGCTTATCTAGATTAGATATGTTACTTTAGGCGCTTATATATATATCCAGAGCAATACTGGCATTATAATAGTAGTGACCTCGTATTATCTATCCTAATTCTCTCTTAAGTCTAATAATATCTTTAAGTGCAATAAAAAGCCATATTAACTATATATAGGCTAACTGTTAAAGCAGATAAGAGCTTTGCTTTAAAGAAACCACGTTGTCTATAAATTTGAATGCGTAAATAATATAGGGGCTAGAGCTAGGGGCGTTTATAGGCATAGATATCTCTGCTAATAGCGTGTTCTAATCCGCTATAACTGCCTAGTAGTATAGATAATGTGCTGGAAGGATTGCTGCCTAGAAGTGCATTATAAAGTAAAGGAATTAATGTTTTTTGCCTTAAGCGCGAGGCTTTAAGATCTTTTATCTGCTGCTTAAATTGTTACTTCTTTAGACCTTTCTAACAGCTAGCAGCTGATATGGCGATATGCTTTATTATATTATCCGAGGTCTTTTAATATTAATAATTAATAGAAAGTTTATAATAAACCTTAGAGGTCTTATTTAAGATAGAATTAAGTTTTATTATATTATTAAAGAGCTAGTATTTAAATAATAAAAGCGCTTGCATCTTGGCTTATTTAATGAGTAAATAAGAGTTAGAATTAGTATAGTTTGGAGAGGGGGCTTGTTATCTATATAGTAGAGGAGAGTAGGTATTAGTTAGTATATGATATATAGTCTTTATAGGCCTTTCTTAAGCACTAGTTCTTATTTCTAATTATTATTTCTAGTTATGTATTTCTATCTAATTATAACGTGTTGCTAATTAAATAGCTATATAAGTGCTTTTGTTTTTGGCGGTACCTGCTTTGGATAGAGAATGTGGTCTGCTTATGATTATAAGGACTATACTATACCTATTTATATTAATTATATTATAAGAAGTAATATAATCTTTAAAAGGTATATATTACTCCTATACCTTATTTTATAAACTAGGTATAGACTTTTAAATTTTTCTTTCTTATTTTTTACTTTAATAAAGATTTAAAAATAGTAAAGCAGAACTAAGTAGCTAGCGCTTAAAGTATTGTTTATTACTAAGCATTGGGTGATTTAAGGAGTGGCTGGTGCTAGGTGCTCTATATAGTGATGAGCGCTTAGTGCTTTGCCTTGTAATGAGTGCTTGCTCTAGCTTATGGCAGGTATGTAATGCTCCTTAATAGCTAAGGCCTAGTACCCCCTAATAGCGGCTAGCTCTTAATGCATAACTAAGTAACCTGGCCCTACTGCATGCCATGGCGCCCCCACTATAGCCTATTAGAAAGACAAACCACTTTTATAAGATCTATCTCATAGCGACAATTGCCGCACCCTTGGCGAAGAACATTATATATTTTAATATATAGCTTGTCTAATTTATATGGCTATAATCTGCTATATGTTAAATAAGCAGTTGCATTTAATAGCCTATTTTGCGGTATTGGCCAGGTATTTATAGATCTGGATGGCTTGCTTTAAACGCGCTAGAATGCTAGCCGCTATGGCTTTTAGGCTAGCACTGTCTTGCCGCCTAATGTCCTGCCTATTAAGGAGTTAGTGTTAGATCTTATTTAATCTAAGGGCAAATATATATATAATCTACTTAGTAGCCTCTAAGTATATTATAGTAAAGAGGGGTAATAGTCTTACTATATCGTTCTAGCTTTTACTAGTCTATTTATGTTCCTATAATGTGCGCCTTAAAGCACTTAGGGATTTGCAATTTTCTTAAGCTATTATATATATGTTAAGGGTAATGCTTGCATCGCATTAGTAGGGTTTACAATAGACCTGCTTTAATTCTCTTTTAGACTTAATGCTATATTTAAGAATTATAAAAATTTACGTTAATTATATATATGCTAATTATTAGAGTCTATATAGAGTTACCTTTCTGTAAATAATGCTATTTACTGCTTTAAAAGTATTAATAATATATATATCTAAACTCTAAATATCGCTTAGTAGTGTAGTTATATAAAGTAGTGAAATCCAATTTATAATTACTTTTATATAATTTGTGGCAAAAAAAGCCATTAAATTAGGGCTAACTAGTTTGCGGCTTTATGTATTTATATATATTATTACTTATATTTTAGTACTTGCCTTTGTTAGTAAGAGGCGATTTTAGTAGTATATTGGATTATAATGTCTGTTTTTTAGATAGTTTACTATTAAATGCAAATAGGTCTTACCTTTCTCTATAATAATGTTTTCTATATAAAATATTATAGGATGTTTTTCCTATTAGCTTTATTTATATTAGACTCTTTTAGCTAATTAGAAATAGCTATTTAGCGCTAAATTCGAAGCTTGGCAGTGATTCTGGTGTGCTATTATTATACTTATATAGAGGAGGCTTAGAAGTTATAGTAATATTGCCTATTATCTATATTATATAAGGAACTCCGGCCTGCTTGTTATTAATGTTTATGAGCTTATGTATATTAACTATAATATGCCGTGGATCCCTTTTACATTATGCTGCGCGACTAGGAGTAATATCTTGCATTTTATACTTTTCCTTACTTTACTTTTAGGCAGATAACCTGCCTGAAACCTGGTAATGGTTTCCTTAAAACTGTTTTATATATTTTTACTAAGTTAGAAATAGGTTTCTATATACTAATAGCTGTCTAAATCCCTGTTATATATAGGAAACTAGTATTAAAATTAAGTGCCTAAAGAAGGCAAATTAGCCAAGCTGCGTACTGTGTATAATAACAAATTGCCTTTTTTTATTATATACCTTAGAAAACATCCTCTTAATAACGTAGATATAATAATTCCCTAAACGGGACTAGCACCTAGGTCTTATAATATGTCTTAGTTATGTATTATTATTATAAAATTAGCCCGCTGCCCTTATAACTGCTTAATAAAGTCGATCTTTAAACTGTCCTTATAACCTAAATCCTTAGTTCACTTACTTCTGTTAACTTTAAGTTCTACGCTTATTATACGATATTAATATAGGTGTAGCCGAATGTAAGCCTTAATTATATCTTAAGAAGATAGTAATTACAGCTATTCTTAAATGCTTTAAGGACGTTAAGTCCTTAATTATAGCAGATAAAGTTTAATCTGCTTAGAAGAATGCCGAAGGCCGCATTAAGGGACAATTACTTATTAGTAGAAAGTCTTTTATAGAAATAATATTAATCTCTCTTATCTTAGTCTAAATGCCTTACTAAATCTATGTAGCGAAGGGCATGAGTATTGCAGGAGTAATATCTAGTCCTTATTTACATATATTAGATAAAAGCAAACCTATATAGCATAACTACTCCCCGCTATTAAACCTGCTTTTCGAGTCTTGTGGGGGCTATGTAAGGAGGTGGTGGATATGGAGATAATTAATAAGCAGGTAGCAGAAGCATTGGCGATAGACCACGCCAACGGCATTCTTAACAGATCTATTTAGGGTTCAATGGAATGGAAGTGGCAGAAAAAGTAGGACAATCCGTCAATACTCGTTGTCTGTTATTAGAAACCAGATCAGGATGAATTTTACCAGACTGTTCTACTCTTGATGTCTTATGGTGTTGTCCCTCCTCCTCTTCTCTTTAACATATGTTGAGCCGCTGTTTGGTGATCGAAGTTTGTTCAATACATCGATGTAGATCACAATGGTAGTCCCTACCCAAGGCTCGAAGGTAGGACTAGCGGCCAGAGTGAGTGAGGCTCTCCATGGTGGCGACTCAAGATACCAAACGTCCAATGGGAAAGGACAGATACAAGAGTGATCACCGATGTCTACCCATCGTATTAGGAATCACCGTCAAGGTCAGGAGCTTCTCCGTACTACCGTCACCGGAGACGATGCTTGCTACGCCCTTCATAGAGGCAAGTCTTGGTATCATGCCCTGCGTGAGAACCCAGAATCGTGAGGCGAATGCGACAGCGTGAATGGGCGTGAGTGCGATAGGTTATGTGCGCGACGCGGCGGCTAGCTGAAGCATCACAGCGGTGGAGGTGCCTTAACCCTTCGTTCTGATTCTATGCCATCGGGCAGAGACTATGCTTCGTGGGCCATGTTATCTGTCGAAAGGATCTGGGTATGTTGAAAATGAATCGAGCATATTTAGGGCGATGGGAATTCGCGTCGAGTGCGGTGCGTTCTGCGTAGTCGACGTCGCAGTAGAGGGAGTTGTAGCGATGAGTCGAGAATATACTTGACTATTGAATAAGGCTTGCGACAACGCCGACGCATGGAAAGTCGATGCAAGATATGACTTGACTGTGGATAAGTCGAGGAGAAGAAGAGAAGAAGAACACTCGCAATCCAATCTGCGCCTGTAAATTAGTGGGATGCGGAGCTCTGGAAGACCTTGTCGTAATCAACACCAGAGCCTTTAACCTAAAGAAGCCTAGAGGTTGAATAAGCATATAGGAAGACCTACTTGGAGTGGCAAACTCGTCTAAACTTAGGCAACCCCACCTAAGCCAGAGTAATCTCACCTAACAGTTCACCAACTAAAACCCGGGCTTTTACACTAAGAGTGAAATTCTTGCAGGGTTAACTGACGATTTATACTAGAATGCTTATGCCCTAGAGGACCAGGTCCCCGGACTGATTACTTGCATTACACCTAGGTAATCGAACAGCTGTTAGTTATTTGCAACTAATTCCGGGAATTCGCTTTGCCTTTTGTCGAGAAACTCTTAGTAACTAACATGACAGGACAAGATTAGGTATATAACGAGCGCGCCCGCTCTTAGGCAACTTCTAATTATAACGCATGCATTGCAGAGCGCTCAAACACGCTTGCCCTATCCTCCTTTCGATAATCTAAAACATTCTTCCTGTACCACGATAATCACCTATAATATGTCAATCGCGAAGCCAGCTGGAAAGGTTGCTAGAAAGCAAAACGCTTTTTTAAGTGATAAGATCTTAGCAGTGGTCAGTCGGATTAGCAATACGTGGTCAGCTGCCGCGGCTTCCAATCATATCACCTTAGAAGATCTGCGAAAAAGGGTCGCTAGATACGACGAGGTTTTGAGCGATCTGCAAGACCAAGAAAGACTAGCAGCTAAAGACGCTACCATACACGTAAAGCCTGTACATACTTTCCATTGCTAATGGTCTGCAGTATTAACTAATTAGATACAAAGAAGCGAAAGCGTTCCCCATCACCTCCCGAGGAACTGAAGCGCTATTGCAACTGGGGTCAATCTAATACATGCCCCAAGCCAATTGACAGCCTGGCAAGCATTGCACCAAGGAAGGAAACTTCTGCAGATGCCCTTGCGCAAGCCGGACCGGTCAAAAGCTTACGCGAAGTCCTTCAACCAAAAGCAGGAGAGCTATATCTTGCGCTTCACGAACAGTCTCAACTCTGGCTTGCAGTGCTCCTCCTCCCTCTTGCAAATCTACACACAATTGGTATCTCAGCTACCATTCAAAGTCTAGGTCTAGCCAGAAACATTCCCAGCTGCGTTATCTATAACCTCGACTCTAAGCAATTTGAGTGGCGGGAGGGATATGCCGAAGGTAAAGCGTTCGCTCATAAGCGCAGATTTCCTATTATGTATTTTACTAAAACAAAGTTCCCGGACAGCAGTGCAGTTAAGTGGATTGCAGCTGAGGATTTGCGGATACTTGATGAATCTTCTGTCCAGTCTCCCATCCCTTATTACCATATCGCACGAGCTTTTATTAAAAGCCGGACAGAGTACCGCGCTCTGCGGATTACAACAGGAAGTCTCAGCCGTCCCTTGGGTACGTTCCACTACCTTTCCGCTCTAGATGAATGATCACTAACCCTCGATCCAAGAGCACAATGGGGATATCCCTGATCGTGTAAGGTTTGACCGCCAAAAGACCCCATTTACGTTCAAAATACCCACGACAGTCCATCGTAATATTCAGGAAGTGAATAAGCCGCAACATGTCGCAACGCGGAGTAGTGGGTTTACCCCGGGTGGTCAATTGCCCAAATCTAGCAATGGTGTCACGGGCAGTTCTCAAACAGGTCCATTGGCAAACTCATCACGTCCTCAGCGGCCAGCATCGTGTGCACTGCACTCGAAGAGTCATGACCATCAGCATAAAATACTGCACACCTTCGCCCGAGAAGCAAGTGCACTCCCTGAGATCACCGATGCAAAGGAAAACCCGAAGGACATAACGTTGCCTAGACCAATTAGTCTTTGCAAGAATGAGATTAGGGCACGCTTTAGACTCTTTAAGTGGCCAAAGAGCCTCCCACAACACCTTCTTGACCTGTTAGCGAAGAAATCTGGAGTCGTAGGTATGGAGTCTCTTCCTTACGACTTCAAAAACAGACGGGGACTGCTCTGCTGCCCGTTGTGCAGTAAGATCAAAGAGTTTGTGCGTGTTGGCTCTTTTACGAGCCATCTGCTGGAGAAACATGCAGGGTAGTGCTCATGCACGGAATTTTTACCAATGCGCCGCTGGAAGGGTAGGTATAGTGATGCACTAAGTCGTAAACGCGCCGGGAAAACGCACTAAGGGATACGTCACTCGGTTGCTGTAGACGGCACTCACAACTGACAGACCCCCGCAAGAATGCACCACAACAGAACCAGTATAGCAGCCAGCAAGACATGAGGGAGCGGTTCGCACGACCACTCGGCACCTGCCGACCGTTGCCGTAGTTACCTGGACAAACAATCCATATCAGAATGGTTGTTTAGTCATACATTCACATTCCTCCCCCGGTCTGCTAGTGGGTTCAATATAACAACTATAATATCGTCTGATTTCTATTTAAAAATCTCTGCGTTCGTTAACTCCTAATATATGCACAGTGGCCCTTTCACCTAGAAGATTGCCAGAGCAAGCATTCTCCAGCGCAGTAGGATGCGTTTAAGATTCTAATAAAGGTAGGCCATGTCTATATCTAAAATTTGGTGACTCTTGTACTGATGAGAGCAGCTTCTTAAGCAGTCACATCCAATTCAATCATCAGGACTCCTAGTCTTACCTAATGAGCTGCTGCTTGAAATCCTGGTGCACGTTGATTCAGTCGGTCAATTGTTCCTAGCACTCACGTGCAAGCGGCTGCTCGTTGTCTCCTCAATGACAATCACAATGATCCCTTCTGCGCCCAAGCACCGCGCATATCATCTGGATTGTTCTGCAATGCTCGCCCTCTTACATGTTATATAGCCACGGGATGCTCGAGGGCGATCCAAGAAGTCTTGGGCCCGAGCCTCAAGTTTAGCTAAAGTCCTTATTAATTCCCTTAGGTTATTCTAAGTTTAGGGTAAGTCGCACTAAGATTGGTCGGTGGAATTAGGACTTGCGCACTAAGTTAGGCTTTTAATTTATAATTTCAATACTAAGGGCGGGTAAGCGAATGTTGCTATTAGAAACGATAGGCTGGCGATAATAAGCCTGCTAGTAAATTTACAATTAGTAGTCTATATTATATTGCTAAGGGGGTCCTGTGTGCCTAGTAGAGAGCCTTGCGCATAAGTGGCTAAGTGTAATAAAAATGCAAGCATCCCCTTATCTAGGTTAAATGCTGTTAGATATTACTATACCTTACCTTACCATAAAGACCGCCGGCCTCGTTATTGGAGTTGCTAGGCTTGCTGGACTTTTCACCTCTTACATAGAGGCCCTTAATAAAATACAATCTTACCAGACCTTTAGAACCGACTTGCATGTCTTAAATACCTAATTTAAAGCTGCTAGAGCTTGCTTCGAGCAATAGGGTCTAGGCGTTGGCATTAAGTAGGGCTGACTAAAGCACGCTTATTACCTAGCCCTGGATAATAAATCCGTTTTTGATGCAGTAGCCGAATTATTACATATTATTATTAAGGCGATTTGCGATGCTGGCAATGTACCCCCCCGTCGAACTTAGGGTATAGGCTTTAATAACAAGGACTTAATAAAGCAGGGCCGACTGTTGGCCTGCAATACAATGCACAAGTCGAAGATGAATAAGATGTTATAGGCGTTATGGGGTAAGGGAAAGCATATAGAGCAAGTTAAGATATTTGAAAAACTGGTCTAATAACTGCATAATCTGGTGCCCCTAAGTATAGGAAATAACTGATAGCTAGCATAAAATCCAGTTGCTAGCTATACTAATATACTTACTCGAGGTATAAGCTACGTTGCGCTATAAGACAGGCTATATCTAACTAAAAGTAAGAGCTAATACAGGCTATAAATAATATAATAAGATCTGTTGTATCTTGGAATGAATTAAGGAGGAGGTTAGAGGTAAGGTAGTCCTGTATCTGTGCTTATCGGCTTTGTACTAACGCTACATAGCCGAAGCGCGCCATCAAGTTCATGCCTGGCTTAGCAATTGCCCTCCTAATAAGCACTACTATAACTCCCTTTAGAAAAAACTCCTAGGTACCTATAATTAGATTCTTAACTGTATTGTATTTAGCCGCTAGTTAGCCAGAGGATTTATAAACCAAAAACTCCTATAGGTTAATAGGCATATAGGGTTTAGAAAGATAATCCTCAGTGCCTATCTTATTAACCATCTTTCTTCTACCTTAAGTATGCCTGTTACCTATTTCTTCTTTTCTTTAAATCATACGAGCCAAGAAGACCCTTTCTTAGCCCTATAGTTATAGATATCCCAAATTATATCGCAGAATGATAATATATTCAAATACGCCTGCCAGAGTTAGATCTCTAATGTGGACCTTTTGGCAACTTGCGTAACTATTATTACCCTCTTTAAGCAACTCTTATGCAATTTTCCTAGATATATTCTTATCGCCAATGGCCTCGACAAATGTACCCACTTAAACAATAGCAGCACCTTAATCGCAAAGTTTCTTTGCGATGTTGTTAATTCCGTTACTAGAACTGAAACATAAGTCCTTCTTATCAGTCATAATGAGCCTGCCATCTAGAATGCACTTATAGACAGTATGCAGGAAACCTTTAATAAGTATAGGATAACGCTTGATAATGTTTAACCAGATATTAATATCTACTCTCATGCTATCGTTAACAGAAAGCTTTATAATAAGAATAATAATGTCTAAGTAACCCTTTCCGAAGCGATATCCGATCGTTACCAAGGTCAATTCCTCTGGCTTAAGATGTAAGAGGAGTGCCTTAAGGGAGGGATAAACAAGAAACAACCCTAATATGCTATCAAGAACACGCCAACAGGCCTTGATTGTCTATATGACTATAACTAGACCAAAATCACCAAGTTGGGAGAAGAGGGAAGAGATCGAGCCTTTGCTTTCCTTTGCTGGGCGGCATTTGCCCTATAACCCCTTATTATCTACAAGATTACTAAAGCTGCTCTAATACTTACCTCCAGAGAACTCTTACAGGACGATTTCCCCAATACCATAAATAACAAGTATATCAAAAGCGAGGTAATTAGTCTTTATAGCCCTCTCTTAAAAGTCAGGAAGGGATTCCCTAGGTCTTCCCTAGGTCGATAAATAGTATACCTGCCTTGTTTCTTAATCTGTTAGTATCTTCTATACAACCTTCCTACTCTAGGCTGGATATATAATAAGAAGATATTATAGATTTCTTAAGAAAAGATATAGAATACCTTACTTGCCAGGGCTTATCTTAAATATATCTTCCTGCCGCAAATTTAGTAAAATATTTTAGATAACTCTCTTTCCCTTAGTATCTTATTATAAGAATATATAGTAATAACCTTCTATTAATATACTAACTCTAGACTAAATAATAATAAAGAACTAATAAAGCTTTTAATGCAGTTTTTTAATAAAGATAATCCTATTTAAAATGCTTGGCGGGCATTAATCAAGACTAAAACCCGACCAGACGCAGCGGCTAAGACTATACTACTAAGCCTACTATATTATGCTATAAGGATAAAGTTAATAGGCGTGATAATAAACCTTATTAATAAATAAAGCGTAAATGAAGCTAGTAGCTTAGGAAGATTACCGCTTGATATCGCTTGTGCTGATGGGTCTAACGATTTTGTTACTCTGCTTCTTTTAAAAGGAGCCGATTTTGCGATAACGAACAAGAATGGATAGACGCCGCTCAACTCGGCCTCAATCAACAGACATGCAGAAGTCGTCAAGATGCTGCTAGAGAAGGGAGCTAATTTCACAACGGCAGATAATAATGGCTAGACACTACTAAACGCAGCCTCAAGTAGTGGTTATGTAGAAGTCGTTAAGATACTGCTAGAGAAGGGAGCTGATATTATAATAACGGATAATAATAGGTAAATACTACTAAATACAGCCTCTAGTAGCAGTTATGCAGAAGTTATTAAGATGCTACTAGAGAAAGGAGCTAATAATATAATAATAGATAATAATAGGTAGACACTACTAAACTCGGCCTTAAGTGGCGGTTATGCAGAAGTTGTAAAGATGCTGCTAGAGAAGGAAGCCGATTTTATAATAATAAATAATAACAAATAGATACCTCTAAACGCAGCCTTAAGTAGCAGTTATATAGAAGTCGTTAAGATACTACTAGAAAAGGGAGCCGATTTTATAATAGCAAATAATTACAGTTAAATATCACTTTTATTAACCTTAAAGAAGGGATATATAAAAGTTATAAAAATGCTACTAGAGAAGGGAGCCAATTTCATAATAGTAAATAATAATAGCTAGATACTACTAAATATAGCCTTAAGTAATAAATATATAGAAGTTATTAAGATACTATTAGAGAAAGGAGCCGATATTATAATAATAGATAATAATAGGTAGATGCTATTAAACTCGGCCTTAAGTAGCGGTTATGTAGAAGTTGTTAAGATGCTACTAGAGAAGGGAGCCGATATTATAACGGCAAATAATTACAGGGTAATACCACTAAACGCAGCCTCAAGTGGCAGTCATGTAGAAGTCGTAAAGATACTGCTAGAGAAGGGAGCTAATGTTATAATAGCAAACAATAATGGCTAGATACCACTTTTATTGGCTTTAGCTAATAGCTATGTTAATGTTGTTAAATTTCTATTTAAATCTTTGCCTCTTTATACTACTGAAACAGATAGTCTTAGTTATATAGCCCTCTTTTTAGCTTCTTAATACGGATAACTCCTGGTAGTGCAGTACCTGCTTTCTACTAGACGTTTTAACCCTAATATTAAGAACTTTTATAACTCTATAGTATTATTAGCTGCAGTAGCTAATAGGCACTATAAGGTTATAGAGCTTCTAATTAGTACTAGTGCCAGTACTAAGGCATAGTTCTATATTAATTGCAGTCTAGTATAGTGGGCATCTTATGCAGGTAAATCTAAGATAATTAAGCTGCTATCGTATTATGCAGAATTAAGCGAGAGTGTTCCTCAGAACGAGCCTATATTAGCAGATATAGCTTTTAATGCTACATCGGGCTGGTGTAATGCTTGTATACGAAGTATCTCGAGCAAATCTCTCTATTATTCCTGCCAAAAGTGTGTCAACCTCGATCTGTGCGGTGATTGCTACGAGAGAGGTTTTAGGTGCCGGGATCAAGCGCACGCTTTAACGGTAGGGAGTCCTGAGTACCATCTTTATGTGTCTTTGACGACGGAATAGGCATATCAATGGCAAGCGATTCAGGACCTATCTAAATGAATTTGTAGAGAGAAAATATATAGAGCACACCTAGTATCGGCCAAATCACTCCAACCTGTAAGGCGAGGAAAGTCTTTAAACCTGTTCGTAGTATGAGCGCTTCCCACATAAGCCAATGAGAGCTGGTTCAAAAGCAAGAACAAACTTTGTCCCATAAAATACCATATATCGTTTACATAGGATTCTGTCTCACAGACCCAAAATGTTTCTTAGCATCAGTGACAGAGCACGTGCATATTATTAAGTTGCACCTTACGGAGTCTTAGTCAGCACCCATAAGCAGAAAATGTTAGCGAGTTACTAGCACCCATTTTTGTTAAGCAGGTGGTATACATTGGCACTCGCCTAGTCTTCGCCCTCATGGTGTGCAACTAGAGTTTGTTGCTCCATTGCATGCGCCGTTAGCTCGTTCCACATCTCAAGCAAAGTGTTTATACAAATTCGAGGTCACTTTATCGCAGTGGCTACATTGGTCGAATGACTTCTTAACTAGCGCCTATCTCTCGGTGTTTGCGACATGAGCGCCGTCTCTGTTCCTTTGGCCTTAGTCTGTCATTCTTCATCGGAGCATTAGTCGGGCTCTGGCCTCGTCCGGTACTCAATCACCACGCGATCACCTGTATACCTTGCATCAAAGCAGCCGCAGCTTCCTCTTGCGGCCCTTGCACGCGACATGGATCGGGGAATGGGATCAAATCAGATGAGGGATAGCGAGTTACGTACGTTTTCGCCTGGCCGTTCGCCTGATTTGGTTTTATTAGGAAGCCAGGCGTCCAGCTGATATATGGCCGCCTTTCGTGCTTCGCCATTCGCTCCGCATCTGAGCGGCAGTGGCTTTGACATGGTTTGCTTCGCCAATCATATAGCTACAGTATCGAGCACTTACAGCCTCCTCTTCGCAATAGCATTCTTTTTGTTATGCCCATGGTGGGGATCCTCTGGTACAGATATGTACCCCCCATGTAAGTATGACGTTTACTTTAGGCTGCCAATTTTGCTCGTAAGCAGCTTTTTGGCCGCGGGGGCAAGCGTACCTTTGAAGTACTGCAGATGGAGACACTAGTCCTAGAACGTGGTGCAATTTCGACAGTGCGAGTTAGCCCTATAGCTGCTTTCTTCAAGTGGGAAAGATACCCAATATAATTACAGTTCAAGCCTGCTGTAAGTGTCTACAAAGCCCAAACTAAGTGTACAGAGCCTACTTATCATGCTAACTGACACCGTGTGGAGTGCTGTTCCAGATCGCAAGTATGTTGTGGAAGAGGAAGCTGTAAGTGCTCGATGCTGTACAACGTTCAGTTCGCTAGCAATATTGTTGAATCACGGGAGAACGCAGAGGACAGCAGAACAGAGAGGAAGAGAGCAATTAAGGAGCAGGCGCTATATGGGCTTGTGGACATGAATTTCAGATTGGTGGTGTGAAACCACGGTTCAGTATGGGCTTTAGGAAAATGTAGACACAATTTGAGCAATGTATGGCACAGTATGGGCTTGGGAAAACAAGGACGAAAAGCAGGCGTTGTATGTAAGCATTAGCGACTAGTGCCCTTTCGGTCAGAACAGGCCGCCGGGCGTAATAAATTGTATTGTATTGTATTGTATTGTACAACGTCCAGCCTGCCGCAAGTCGCTGCATATAATAGGCGCCGTGAGCTTGACTGATGGAATCCTCACACATCCTCAGAGCCTGATACATGCCTGCCGTCACCAAGAGCATGCGGGCCTCGCTATGCGCCTCCTCGAGCGTTCCTTTGTTGCGATTGTCTGTCTATATAACATCACATCTTCCTCTTGGCTCGATATCGATTGCTGACCATATCGAATCCCCAGAAGTACACGGTCGGCTGGATTTATGCCGTCACCACCGAATTTATCGCTGCGCGAGCCTTCTTTAATGAAAAACATGACTAACTTGAAACAATCGCCGATAATAATAATAATAATTATGCTCTGGGGAGAATCGGGAAGCATAACGTTATTATGGCCGTCTTGCCTAAATCTGAGTATGGCATGACCTCTGCCGCCACTGTGGCAAGGGATATGTTGCGCAGCTTTCTAAAAATTCATTTCGGATTGATAGTCGGTATCGGCGGCGGCGCCCCAAGCGCAAAGCACAATATACAACTTGGCGATATTATTATAAGTACCTGTGGCAGTAGGAAAGGCGGCGTGTTCTAATATGACTATGGCAAAGCAGTTCAGGAGCATGCTTTCGTGGCGACAGGGTCCTTGAACCAGCCGCCGCAATTACTTCTGACAGCATTAAGCAGGCTCGAAGCTAAATACAAGCTGGAAGGGCATCAGCTCAGCGCCCACGTTAATAAGGTATTAGAACAACGGCCTCGTTTACAACAGAAATACTCTCGGCCACCCCCAGACAGCGACAGACTCTACCGGCCCGACGTTGTCCATCCGGACTCGTCAGACGCATGCGGCGACGTGTGCAGCGACGATCCCTCTTGTTTGGTATATCGAAAAGAACGCAGGGAGCAAGAGGATGACCCTGCCATCCATTATGGGTTGATCGCCAGCGCAAACCAACTGATGAAGGATGCACTTGCTCGGGATAAGCTGGCGGCTAGTATAGATGTCTTTTGTTTCGAGATAGAGGCGGCCGGCTTGATGAACCACTTCCCGTATTTGGTAATCCGCAGGATATGCGACTACTCTAACTCGCATAAGAACAAGGAGTGGCAGGGCTTTGCGGCAGTAATGGCAGTGGCGTATGTAAAGGATCTACTGCGCCAGATCCCTCTTAATAAGGTTGAGGCTGAGATGCCTATTAGCGAAGTCCTTTATTCCAGTTAGTATTATAATACCAGTTTATATAGTTTCTCTAAATTTTAAATAGTTAAATTAACAGGAAATGAAACTAAATATGCGGTAATAAGCATGGCATCTAACCACCGTTTCGCTAAGATCGAGCGATAGTTATCCCTACCAGATTGTTCAACTAATGCCAACTTAGCAAGAAAACGCCGTCATCCCGGCACTAGGGCCTGGCTTCTAAACAGTCCCGCCTTCCAGGAATGGAAACTTGGGTCACGTCAACACCTGTGGCTCTACGGTCTGGCAGGGTGTGGCAAGACTATTTTAAGTATAACGATTCTTAATCACCTTCTGCAAATAGACACCTACACCACACTTGCATTCTTCTTCGACTTTAATAATACCAAAAAACAGAAACTAGAGGATCTCCTACACTCCCTAGCAGTTCAGCTTTATCATACCGGGAACAAAGCCGCAAGAAGACTTAATAGTCTTTTCACTTCCCATAATAATAGACAGAGATAACCAGATATAAATGCCTTATCAGCCTGCATTAACACAATAATACAAACTGCTAGAAAGGTTTTCATTATCATTAACGCCCTAGATAAGTATACAGCAAAGGAAGAACTTCTGCAATAGCTGAAACATTTAGCATCCAGGAAGGCTCAGCTCATTATCACTGGCCGGCCTGAAGTAGAGTTCCAAAGCGAGATCCCTCGGCCATTCGGCAAGCGAAACTGTATCCAACTTGATAAGAAGGCTATTAATGCCGACATACGCTCCTATATTAATGCAATACTTAAATAGAAGCCTGATTTTGTAAATAAGAAACTATCTTAAGATCTTCTAGATAAAATCCAGGATAAAATCGGAAATAGAGCCGATAGGATACAAGTTTTGGCCCAGGTTATTAATACAAGTTAAACATTTTTCTAACATTCATCGCAGGTTTAGATAGGCAGCTTATTAACTAAAGAGTCTTGCTTGATGTCTGAGTCCTAAAGCCATTAAGATAGCTCTTAGGTCTTTGCCCTATGATCTAAATAAGATATATTACCGCATACTCTAAAATATACTATCGGAATATAAGAGCAGCGCGATTTATCTCCTGCACTTTCTAGTCTATACTAAGAGGCCTCTAATACTAGAAGAGGCTATTAAAGTAATAGCTACTAAAATAGATCGAGAGCCTCAGGGCTTCGATATTAATGGCAGACTATCTCTAAAAGCCGACATCTTACGATACTGCCCTAGCTTAGTAATTATTGCTAAAGTCATAAAGTATGCTAAGACTATAGAAGAACTTTATCTTGCTTATTTCTCTGTTAAAGAGTACCTTCTTAAGTAAGCCCAGTTCGACCTTAAAAATGCCAGCATTGCTATCGCTAAAACCTGCTTGACTTATCTTACTGATATTAAGGGCAGCCATAGCATGATTAGATATAATTTTCTAATAGCACGGTATGCAGCAGAGTCCTAGATAGATTATGCCATTTCGGCCAAGACTTCTAAAGAAATCATTTAAATAACAGTTAGCTTTTTAGAAGACAAGAGGACATTTCAGCTATAGTATTACGTATACTAAGCTAACCGTCTATAGGATAGTAGTCCAGGACCTCCTTAAGTATCTAGATTATATTATGCTTATCTTGGCAGACTTATAGCGGCTGCAAGAAATCTAATTGCAGAGGGAGCCGATGTCAACATGCAGGGCAGCGAGTATGGCAATGCTCTGCAGGCTGCCTTATTTCGCGGTAACTGAGGGGTTATATAACTGCTCCTTAATAAAGGAGCCGATATTAACGCGCAAGGCGGAGAGTACGGCAATGCTCTGCAGGCTGCCTTATGTAAAGGCCGCCGAGAGGTTGTGCAACTGCTCCTCGATAAAGGAGCCGATATTAACGCGCAAGGCAGCCAGTATGGCAATGCTCTATAGGCTGCCTCATTTCGCGGCAGATAAGAGGTTATGTAGCTACTCCTTGAGAAAGGAGCCGACGTTAACGTATAGGGCGGAGAGTATGGCAATGCTCTGCAGGCTGCCTTATTTCGCGGCAACCAAGAGGTTATATAACTGCTCCTCGATAAAGGAGCCGACATCAACACGCAAGGCGGCTGGTTCGGCACTGCTCTGCAGGCTGCCTTATTTCGCGGCAACCGAGAGGTTATATAACTGCTACTAGATAAAGGAGCGGATATCAACGCGCAAGGCGGCCAGTATGGCAATGCTCTACAGGCTGCCTTATATGAAGGCTATTAAGAGGTTGTGCAACTGCTGCTAGATAAAGGAGCAGACGTCAACGCGCAAGGCGGCCGGTACGGCACTGCTCTACAGGCTGCCTTATATAAAGGCCATCAAGAGGTTGTGCAACTGCTACTAGACAAAGGAGCAGATATCAACGCGCAAGGCGGCCGGTATGGCACTGCTCTATAGGCTGCCTTATATAAAGGCCATTAAGAGGTTATGCAACTGCTCCTTGACAAAGGAGCCGACGTCAACGCGCAAGGCGGCTGGTTCAGCACTGCTCTACAGGCTGCCTCATATAAAGGTTATTAAGAGATTATATAGCTGCTGCTAGACAAAGGAGCCGACATTAACACGCAGGGCAGAGACTATGGCAATGCTCTATAGGCTGCCTTATCTAATGGCTATTAAGAGGTTATATAACTGCTCCTCGATAAAGGAGCCGATATTAACGCGCAAGGCAGCCAGTATGGCAATGCTCTACAAGCTGCCTCATTTCGCGGCAGACAAGAGGTTATGCAGCTGCTCCTTGTAAAAGGAGCAGACATTAACAGGCAGGTCGGCTAGTTTGGCACTGCTTTATAGACTGTCCTATCTCAGGATAACCAAGATGTTATATAATAACTTAGTTAAAGGGTCGCCAATATAACATCTAAACAATAATCCGGCTCAACAGGCATAAGGGAACTTATAACTTAATCTCGGCTCTAGACCCTATTAATATTATTTAAATCCATAGCCAGATTTCTAACAGATATAACACCGATGCAAAAGGCGCTTTATCACGCTGTGCATACGAGAATCTGTATTTCAAGAAAACTAAAGATTATAAGAAGAAGATATTCAGTCGTTGTTCGCTAGATCCCTGACCCGGTAATTATAAGTACCCACTGCCAAGGTGACCCGTTGTAGTGGGTTTAATTGTATGTCCCCGCCCCCCGCGCGTCAAGTCTAGCGCTACTGAAAGCTAACCTTATATTGCTCCTCATAGCCCCGCGATTCATTAACTACATTTCCAAGTCCAAGCCGAAGATCATGCCACGCTTATTATCGATTACCTAAGGTTAAAGAGAAAGAAAGAGAAGACGGTGGTGGGAGGATTGCAATAGATAACGGCCTAGAGCTCATTTGGGAACGAAGAGACTAAGATTGCAAGCAGATGGTGTTCGATACCAAGGGTACCCTGACGATTAGATCCGTATTAACTTTTCAGGATCGGCTTCTTTAGCTAAGTAAATTCACAGATGGCAGCCTACATCATGGGATGTGCCTAATAGAGAGCCTTGTGCATAATTGGCTAAGTATTATAAAATGCAAGCACCTGTGTATTATTACCATGCTACACACTGTGCCTACTGCGTGTAGGTAGAGTTAGCAAGTTCTTATCTAAGTATGCGCGGCAGGCCGTGCCTTTGTTATAAAACATCAAGCAGGGGTTAGATACCTAATATAGCATTCTAGTTAATTTAATAATACAGTTTGCTTTAGCAGGCAGCTTGGCTAGTAGTGAGCATGCTGGCCTTACTAGCTTATATTGCCTAGGTTGCAGGGCGGGTTATTGGGAGTAGATGTAACGTGAAATAGACCATTGTTCCTATATTATCGGCCGTTTCGTTCTTTCCTAGCCTGATTTGAGCTAGTTAATTATAGTGCGTAGGTAGGAAACGTTGCTAGTTGTACCGTTTGCTTTAGCTATAGATTTAAGATATAACTGCTAATTCTCTACCCTTGTTTTCCCTTATAATGCTGATCTTGCTCGCTATCGTTGTAAGAATGCGCGTAAATGCAGTAATACTATCATTTAATAGACACATCGAGGTGGCCAAGCTGCTTCTCGAGAATAGGGCTGACATTACGGTTGCGAATAATAAAGGAGTCACGCCAGTCATTACGGCATCACTATTAGGCTTACGAATTTAGAAGAGGCGCATCGCAGCTACGGCGGTTAGCTGCTGCATAATAGCAGCCTTATCTAATCCGTTAGAATTAATTAGACCCTGTTCGTGGCGGCATTTACTGTTGGTTATATAGCCTACTTTAGCCGCAAATGCAGGAATGCCTCAGGCGCCCTATCTTTTCAACCGATTGCGGAAGATGTTTATTTAATTTGATACAGCCTTGTAGTCGACCGCGTCAAGAAAGAGCCGCAACTCAAGGGCCATTAAAACAACTTATATACTTATATTCTTATCGAGGGCTCCACGTGCTGGTGGATGGCCAGGATAAGCTAACCCGCCCGGCGTGATCCGACGACCAGCCGTGCACACAAAGTCAAGTTGTGCCATTGAGCCTGTTCTCACCTGTCTCACCTGCTTTGCCTTGCACTTTCACTTCCAACACGGCAGAACCCTTGCAATTAACGTGGCGTAGCTGCAAATCCCAGTACCCAGCAATCCTATTGGCCTCACAAGCTACAGGGGTCCTTTTTAGCTGCAGGCCTCCCCGCACGCAACGATGTTGCTGCCCTACGTTGTTAGTGATGATAATCTATTGCAGTCCTGACTTATCGATCGAGAATCCGCCTCGGCTCTTTTACCATAAACACCTTTGCTAATTATTTAGAAGAGCGCGACTAACTTGGGCTAATAGGCACTTAATATTTAAGAGGCAGGTAATGGCAGGATTTCCTAGCTATGATATTAAACTCCTGGATTAACGGCACTATACTTATGCACTAACTTATTAAAGTGGCGGTAGCAGCGCTAACTGGTGGTGGCAGAGCGTGTATAAGTCTGACCGCGACCACGACCGCGATACCGTCCCTAGCTGCTCGATGCGCCTTTGATTGTCCCTCCCCCCCTCTCCTTCCTTTAATATCTAAATACAATTAGCTAAAAAACATTTAGTTGCGATAATTGCTATTTATTAGATGCCTTTTATTAAGTCATTTCTCTGTATTTATCTCTGCCCTTACCGGCGCTTATACCTTAAATAAAGTTATGCTTGTAAATTATAACTATATAGATATCTAGCCAAGATAGATAGAAGATAACCTTGGCATAAAGACCATGCTAAAGCAAGCTTCCCTTAGTCTCTAAAGTGATAAAAATCTTTTTAAGATAACTAGGGTAATAGGATTTATAAGTTATAAAACGCTTTACCTACCTTATATAATTAGTATACTATTGCCTAGATCTGTATGCTATATATAGAGATAGTAGCAGCTTATGCTATACTAGATAAGATTTATAAAACCCTACCTATATATATAGATAATAGTAATGCCTATATACTAGGCAATATTAAGTAATATAATATTATTATTATATACTTGCCAGAAGGATAATATAGATTAAATAATATAGTAAATATATTAACCTACCTAGTCTATACTTTCTTATTAATCTAAGTAGGCTTAATAGTAAGAATTAGTAATAAAGTGCTAAGTAAGACTGATATATGTTTAGGCGATATTGTTATTAGAACGAGGGTAATGCAGTATAATCTAGGGAAAATCATTAGAGATAGATAGATATAGTATATAGCAATCCTGAAGATTCCTTAGCAGCTATTAGGCATAGCTATATCCTCTTTATAAGCAAGGCATAAGAGAGAAGGCAGCCAGATCCTATCTATTTTAAGGGAGAAGTTTAAAGAACACTCTAAATACCGGCGCCTAGCCTTACCGGATTGCCTCTTCCTCTTAATATATAATTATATATTTTAAATATCTGCCTGTAATAAATGCAATTATTTAAAGCTAGTGCAGCGGCATATATAGGAGATAGATAATCCGCTAATATATTACGATACAATCGCCTTAGGGAACTAAGTTATAAGGAGTGGCACTTAGCAGGATAGTATTACTTAATAGCTAGATATTATATGTTTTAAAATAGAGGCTGCCGGCTTAATGGATATTCTCCCTTATCTACCAATCTGGGGAATTTGCAACTACTCAGACTCTTACAAGAATAAGGAATGGCAGAGATATACTGCAGCTGCTGCGGCATTATATACAAGGGAATTACTAATAGTATTACCTGTAGCTAAAGTATATGTAAAAGCTACCTATATGCCTAACCCTCGTAAGTTAAGCTTAGTGGTGTTAAGATCCTGTTTTAATTATTATAGCTCATATCTGGCATGTAGATCGAGATATATGGAATGGGTTATAGTTAAATCCTGCCTTCTCGTCCTTTGACGGCATAAGTCAAAGCAATCCTCTCCAAATGTTGAGCCAAAACAAGATAACAGCGATTAGGCCAAGAGCATACAGATACCTTGATGAGCTCAAATGGTCTTGCTACTGTTTTTTTTTACTAAGGAAAGTACGCACAGGCTGAGCAACTACTTAGGCAAACACTGGAAGCGCGAAGGCGGACTCTTGGGCCTCGATACGAGGATATTCTGACTAGTGCAAGCACATTATTTAATATCCTATAGTGCCAGGGCAAGTATGAGGAAGCAGAGTATCTCCTCCTGCAGACTCTTAATGGCCATAAAGCAGTCCTTGGTTCGAGATATAAAGATACTATAGAAAGTATTAAATACTATGTAGTCTTTCTATAGTATAATGGAAAATACTGCAAGGCGGAGATAAAGATCTAGGATTTGGTCGATGATATGGAGGAAATGCTAGGTCCTAATCACCCTAGCACCCTAGCTAGCAAGAGCATCTATGTATCAATTCTTGATGTTTTAGGTAAACATAAAATAGCAGAGCTATTATTTAATAATCTATTTAATGCGATAAAGCAGCTATATGGGAAAGAGCACCTAGAGGCGCTAGATTGCCTTGAGAGGCTTTCCTGGACACTGGCAAATTAAGGACGATTTGCTAAAGCTCGACAAATCAAGCAACAGGCCCTGGAAGGTTATAAGAAAACTCTTAGAAAAGACCATCCTGAGACAGTTGCGAGCTATTCAAACCTCAGCACTCTTTTGTTTTAAGAGGGGAAATTTAAGGCGGCCGAGGGCCTGATAAGGGAAGCCTTTATTAGACTTAAAAACATATCAGGCGAGGACTATCTAAAGGCAATATAGGCCCTATGTTGGACTATATGCTTGCAATAGTTGCGTGGTAAATTCATGGATGTAAACGATACCCTTAGCACTGTGATGGCGAAGATCGCAACGTGGGAAGCGCTAAATCTAGATATGCTTATTACTAAAAGCTTTATTACATCCATCCTTTACGCGCAAAATCAGAACGATATAGCAGAGCAAATATACCAGAGAGTAATAGCTAATAGAATTAAGGTTCTTGGAAAATTACACCTAGAGACTTTAATAAGCAAGAATAACCTGGCAGATATGCTTTAGGCATAAGAAAAACATAATAAAGCAGAGAAGCTATACCGAGAGGCGCTCGCGTAAAGACTAAAGGTGCTAGGAGAAGAACATCCTGATACTCTTACCAGCCTTGCCGACTTGAGTGAAACACTCTTATTCCGGAATGCTGACGACGAGGCTGAGGGGTTCTGTTAAAGAGCGTTGGCGGGAAGAGAACGGATTTTCGGCAATAACCATTTATGTACTCTATGCACTTGCCTTACTATGGCAGGTTGCCTCCTTGCAAAGAACGACTTGGTAGGAGCTGAGAATCTGTTAAAGAGAGTCTTAACTGGAAGGGAAAGAATCCTAGGCGCAGACCATTCATTGACCCTGTTCTGCATCTCTCTAATGGGTTTATTCCTCGCGTCGCAGGATAGACTTAAAGAAGCAGAGAAATTCCTTAGACAAGCTTATAAGGGATCGAAGAGAGTACAGGGGGAAACACACAAGGAGACTATGCTTAACAAGGAATACCTCGCTTCGGTGCAACAAAGGCGTCTGTCTAATAAGCGGGGAAAGTGGCTAATGCCGGTGTATAGACGCTTGAGACGTCTGTGGCAGAAGAGTAGAAACTGAGAAATTCCTCGGCAGAGGGAAAATTGGGGTATGGGTCTAAGTCGTCCAGCCTACTGGCACTATGAGATTCGTTCTCCCGGGCGTAATAAACTCTATCTATCTATCATCCGATCCCGGGCTAAGTTCAAGTCAGTTGTATAACTCCTACTAGAGAGGGTAATACGTAACCCACATTAGGATGCGGTTAACCAGATAAACTTGATCCAACTTAATCGACAACATTATATGTAAATTGCCTTTTTATGTTCTCTACGATAATCTTAATACTTCAAAGCAAAACTCATTAAAGAGATAGTCCAAAGAAAACAGAAGGTTTCGCCACATAGATCGCCAATAATTATTCCATGCAAAGCCCATAATAATCAACCTCCATGTAATACAGTCCTATATACTATCTTAGTATGATTTTGCAAGTGCATCTTATGGTCTAAAATCTCATTATAGAGGCGGCAATAGAGCTTTTCGTTTAGTTAAAGATTAGAGAGATAGTATCGTTTGAAGTGCCTGCTTAAGTCCCCTAATAAGTAGAAAGGCTTAATTAACCTATCGATTGCTAGATCGGAAGGCTTAAGAGTAATAGCCTGACTAATATAGAGAAAGCACCTCTGACTTCGCTCTGTCTGGCTTTTAGTAAAGACTAAAGTTATTGCATTACCTAAGGCGCTACTTGCAGTCTCCTTAGTTATATTATTATACAGATTGGAAATATAGTCCTTAGTAGCAATCGCTCTATATCTAGTTATAGGAGGCAGGGGTAGTTCTTAGATAGAACAGTAAGACATAACGCTAAGAATTGCATTATTACGGCGATAATATTTAGACTCGATTGTGTTTATTACTAGGGCCGTTAAAGCTTTATATAAGCGTTTCTAGGCTAGATAAGCATTATTATCCGATGGCGACATTAGTGGCTCCTTAAATGTCTTGCCAGCTAGTTATCGCTCGATATCGGTTATAGCCTGTTCCCGGGACTAAGTCTTTCTAACCTGATCTTTGCGTTTTCTGCGCAGATGTGCCTTCTTGCTTTAAATATCCTTAGTAATCTTCCTTAGGCATATACAAACCTTCTCTAACTTATTGCCTTTAGAAATAAGGCATTTTTATTATTAAAGGAGATCTTAGATCTTAAGATTATTATTAATACTTATAAACTACTTAGCAGTAAGATAGGTAGGCCGTTACTTGCTGGCTAAGTACCTAATACTACAGGCTTAATATATTAGCGCTTTTTGCTGCTTTTTATAACTTATAACAGCTATAGTATCTATAGGGATAACTCGGCTAAGGTAATGCTTCTCGAAAGTCCTAGAGCTAAAGTATTAAAGTATAAGGTTGCAAAGCCTATTGCTAATATTCGCTACATTACTAGTCAGTCAGTCTGTCTTTATATATAATATATATATGCATAGCATTAGTCAAACTTGTTACCTGCGTTATAATAAAGTATATATAAAATTATAATAATACCAAACCTAGCTAATTCGCCAAGCTTCTTTATCTAACTGGAAATTATATTATATATAATCTGTTTATTTATAGATAATATATATGCATTTATGCCTATCTTAGTAGCCTTATAAAAGACGAATATATTATTTATATACTACTTAAGTGGCAGGGGTAACTCGTGCTTATTAGGGTAGATATTAAGCTTGCTTAAATGCTTAAGAGAAGTAAGAGTTAGCGCATTAAAAGCCTTATAATAGAACAAAAGACCTAGAAGAAGGGTATATAGACTAAGTAATAAGCTCAAGTTAAAGATAGTTTAGGGAAGAGTTAAGATATTTCTACTTAAGTTAGGCTTAGTGGCCAAATGTGCGTTCCTCTAGGTTTAATTATATTACTTATGTTTCTTTTTCTTTAAGGAAGGTCTTTATAAAGCGAAGCCTGAAATAAATAAGAATACAGTGCAGGCTGCCTTAAGGATCTCGCGCTAAAGAAAGCTTAAGGTTACTAAATCTTAAGAAAAGGAGTGCTCTAGGTCTAGAGCTACTTAGTGCAATAAGAAGAAGGAATAAAAGAGCATAAATGCAGTACTTGCCAAGGTAGAACCTCTATTTAGTTATATTAATAGTTATCTCTACTTGCCGCTTAAGATCCTTAATAATTATATATTAGTTTTCGCATTACTCTCCTATTAAATCGTAGTTAACAATAAGTTTTTAAAGGATCTAATTAGTTATATATTAATAATTTTACAACTAAGGAAAGGCAGATATATACCTTACATATTCTCTAGTTTAGAATAGGGTTAATCTTTTTCTTAATCTCTTTTTTATATATAAGTTAAAACTCCTTTTAATACTACTTAAGGGTATAGAAAGACCTTATATTAAGGAGCCTCCTTTCCCTAGCCTTAGTTTTTTAGGTAAAAAGCTAGTAAAAAAATACATTAATCTTACTTAAGGAGATATAATATATACAGTATTTAAGGTCTTGTTTTATATACTTATAATAACTAGTAGATATTAGTAGTATTATAAGAAGGAAAGTACTTAAACTATATATATTCTACTAACGCTTAATTGCATTAAGTTATCAAGTTATGCCATTAGCATATATAGTATTATCTACATCCTCTTCCTTAAAGTTATCTTATATATAAAGAAAGAATTCCGGTAGCAGATTGCTTCTACCTAGAAGATATTATATATTATCTAGTTCGAGGTTAATATCGCTAGCATTACTAAGATTAGTATCTATATCTAAAGTATAATTATTATTACTATTAAACATATTATTATCTTTATATAAACTTACTAAGTTATCAGACTTAGTAAGGGAGATAGATTGGGGGCTCCTTTAAGTTATTAATAGTAATTTAAGGGCAGTAATGCAGAAGAAGGTAATAGAGATATCTTACCTAGCTTAATGGCTAAGATGCCTAGTATTTATATTTAGCAAGCGCGGCTAAAGTGATATTAATAAGGGAGGGTATATAGCGAATAGGAATGACTATGTAATAAACTGGCGCTTAGGTAGGCAGGGATGTGAACAAGGCATGGCGGCTAGCAGATAAATATAGTCGGTATATCTGAGATACTTGATAAGGGGTTAGAGTAGATTTGTGGGGAATATCACTCTTAAAGCGGCACTGGTTATCCTGGCAAATGGCTGATAGAAAACAACCCCGCGACTTGCTGAAAACAGTACTAGAAAAGCTGCGACAGCATATTATAGAGTATTATATTAGTTTTAGGCAGAGGTAGAGATTTAACTACAGGTCTAAAATAGGTTTTTAGGTAAGAGATTAGTAAATTCCTTACTTAGTAATAATAAGGTTATTAGGAAACCCTATAATACTATCTATATTAAAGCTAACCTTAGTAATATATATAATTTATTTATCCTTATTTAAGTAAATATAAGGCGCCTAACCTCTAAAGCCAAGGCTATAATAAACCTATTACTAGTTTAAGCTACTTATCCTTTTAGAAAGGTTATCTTTTAAAGATATAATATAAGTAAAGCTTAAAACCTTAAGATAAATATTTATAATACTTTCTAAGTAAGTAATAAGGCTAATATACTCCCTTTAAGTCTAAGTATACTAGACCTTTGTTAAATAGTAATAATTTATATAATATCCTTAAAACTTAATTAACTATTATATTAGCTAATATCTAAGATATTTTACTTAATATTTATAATTTATATTAATAAGTAATAAGGTTTTTATAATATTAATTATAGTTATTAAAGGTAGGTTTTTTATATTACCTTTTAAATATCTTAAAACTAGTAATAATACTCCTAGAACTTTATTACTTCTTAAAGGAGACCTTCTTAATAAATATAGCTTTAGGGGAAAGGTAGGCAGAGAAAAGAAATATAAAAAATCTAAACTATTAAGTTCTAGAGTATAATATTTAATTTCTAATAATATAGCAGCACTCTTAAGTTAATAATTAAACTATTAAACTAAGGCTTTATTATTAACTTAAAGTAAAATAGGAAGTAAGGAGAGAATACCTATATTATAAAAGTAAGTATATTACTTAGCCCTTTTATTAAAAGTTACTTTCTACTACTTTACTTACCTTTATTTAATATTTATATTTATTTTATTTTAAGAAGTAATATATTAATATAGTTATCTATATCTCTTATATCTAAGCTTAGAACTAAGTAACTTATTTATACTTAAAGGCTTAACAGGTACTATTTAGATATATAAAATAGAAGTTTAAGACTAGTAAGGATAAAATAAAATAAATAAAGTATTATATAAATATATTTATAAACCCCCTAAGGTAATAGATATAGAGATTACTTAAATAAACAGACTTAGTATAGGTATGCAATATGCTAGCTTGTAGAAGGACTAGTTTTAATTATAAAAATTAAAATAGGTTTAGTTTTAATTATAAAATTCTAATTAGCTATAGGCTAGCAAAGCGATAATAAGGTTTATAATTAATATAAGTAATAATATTATAATAAAAGTAGGAATAGAGATAAAAAGAGTTTTTATAATATTTAAATAACCTTAAGACTAAGTATAATATATAAAAAGTAATTTTAATTAGCTCCTTATACCTATATCTAGTTACCTTTTTTATAATATCTAGTTCTAATATATTAAAGTAGTCCTTAATATCCTTAAGTACTTAGCCCTTTAGCTAATAAATAAATCGAAAGTATAACTTAATACTAATACCAGGCTAAATAGCTACTTAATATAGCTAGTAAATAAGTATTTAATAGTTTAGGTTAAGCTATATAATATCCTCTATTACTACTTAATATTATCTCTTTTATATTAGTAATAAAAAGTAAAGAGAGAAGTAGTCTTATTATTTTTCTTTATAAATTAAAGTCTCCTTTCCTCTATATTACTCTAACCTTAAGTTAGTATTAGCTAACCTTAAGTATAAAGTTAGGGTTAATTTAAACTAATTAGCAACTTTTCTTTAATTAAAGCAATTTAAATTAAATTTCTATATCCTATAATCCTATTTTAGTATATAATTTAACTTAAATTACCTCTTAATAGTATTTAAGCTAGTTTATTTATATAGGTAATAAAGGGTAGTATTAGTAGAATTTATAGTTAATATAATTAATTATAATATCTCTAAATATAAAGTTATATATATACTTAGGTAGACTCTAGTATATATCCTTAAGGAGTATATATTTTAGGAGAAACTTATTAGCTTATAAATTAAAGTTTTAGTATTAATAATATATTAATATATATTATAAACTATTTTATATTATATTTTATTTCTATTAGCTAACTTATAAGTAAAGGGAGTGCCTAGCTATTAGTGCTATTAGTAGCTATAGGATAAGATAGTAAATATTTATTAATATATATTAAAGGTAAATACCTAGCTTCTTTATATATATTTAAAGCTAAGGCAGGAGCAGAAGGTGCTATCTGGCATACTAACTAAGGGATTATAATACTATTATATATTAGACTGCTATATAACTTATCCTTAGGTAGCACTTAATTATAGGCAGAGTTATTAATGCAGATACCAGGGTAAGTAAGACACTCCTAATAAGCCAGGTTTTAGTATCTCTCCTGCCATTAATGCTATTAATTCCTTACCTGCTTACTTTTGCTTTTAATCTTAAATAAGTTTATAAAGGCTTAATAACCTATATTAAATAAAGGGCTTACTTCCTTTAATTTAGTTATTTATTTTATTTTAGTATAATTAAAATTTCCTTAATTATTATAATAGAAATGCTAACTCCTTAGATAAGTCTAATTATATATTTAAGTTAAATTAAAATAATTATAATTATAAATTATATAATTCTATAAGACTTATTATATAATACAGGTTTATAAAATATAATAAATTAGTTAGGGCAATGCAAGTAAATATCTTTAGGGATACTAACTTTTAAATAAGTATTTATTAGCTTATAAGCAAGTAGCAGGGATATTGCGCATTTTAAATAACTTTTAATTTATTACTTTAAAGCAAAGTAGAGAGCATTTTTCAATAGCTACCTACCCTATATGCTCTTTAGGATTATCTTTTTTGCCTGTTTAGATTGCCTTAGATAGAAAAGTTATTATTTCTTTAATTAAATTAATTTATAGAAGTTTCTGCTATAGTATAGTATTCTTTTTAACTTATATACTGCTATAGTTAAGAGATATTGCATTAAAATTTGTTTTTTTGCTCTCTTTAAGCGCAAAGGTTAACCCTAACCCTGCTAGCTATTATAAATTAGCATAAACCCGCCCAGGACTAGTAACTAGGCTTTTTCCTTAAACTTCTCTTTATTATACTTTTAATTAAAAACTTTAGTAATTTCCTTAAAAAATTAATTTTATAAATTAAGTAAGATAATAATAATAACTTTAAAAGGTAAATAAGACTTACCTAAGCCTTATAAAATATAAAGAATTTAATAAGTAAATTAGTTAATAAATATAATATATATAATAAGTATATAAGACAGATAAATATATAAGATAAAAATCCTAACTTTCTTAAGATAAATCCTAATAAAAACATAACAGACTATCTAATTAATTAAAATTAACTACTATACTTATCTCTAAAGGCCTTAATACCCTTTTAATAGGTTTTTATATTATGCCTAGTCTTACTATAAGTCCTGCAATACTAAACCCTTAGTTATATTAAACTTCCTTTATTATTACTTTTTAATAATTTAGCTACTATCTATATATCTATATCTATCTAATTAATTAAATCCTAACCTTCTTATATAGTTATACTTCCTTTATTTTATAGGCAGGTTCTATTTGCCCTGTATTGCTGGCTAAGTATCTTATTTACCTGTTAAAGCTCTTAGTTCTTAGCCCTTAATAAGGCAGTCTTATATATATTTCTCTTTACTGCCTTAATAAGAGACTAAAGAGCCTTAAGGATTAACTTTAAGGAGCTACTATAATGTCTTTTAATTTATCTCTAAAGGTATTTAAATTAAAATCTAGCCTTAAGAACTATTCTTAAAGTCCTTAAAGTCTAAGATTAAGCTTATTAGGCCTCCTCCTTAATAGGTATTAAAGTCTATAGCTATATATTAAGCTTTAAGATTATAACTTTTAGGTTAAAAGGAGTAAGATTAGCTCTTTTAAAACCCCCTTTAATATTTACCTTAATTATAATTAATTAAAAGGCAGTATAAAAAGCTAGGAAAAACTTAATTTTAAAAATATAAGTTATAGACCTTTTAATTAGTTATTTTATTTCTTAATTATATACCTTTTTTAGCAGCCTAAAGTACTTAATATTAAGGGGCTAAAGTAAATAAGAAAAATAAAGTAATATATAAAATATAATAATATTATTCTTTTTATAATATATTTAAAAGTTAGCTAAATAATAGCTTTTATAATTATTAAGGATTAGAAAATAATAGGTATTAACTAATTAATTAGTTTTATATTAATTAAAGTACTTTAGCTACTTAAGGCCTATCTTATTACTTATTTAACTACTTTAAATTATAATAATAGCCTAAAAGGCTAAGAAGTTACTTTCTTAATACTAATTAATAAGGTAATATTAGCTTATAACTATAATAAATAAATTAATTACCTAACCTTTTATATTAATTACTTAAATTATTATAACTTATTTTTAGTTTTTAAGTTAAATTAATTTTAGCTATTTATACCTTTTTAAGCTAGTAATAACTATAATACTTAATATTATATTTATTATAAAGCTAGTCTTATTAAAGTTTTAAATATTATTTAATTAAATATTATATTTTATAATTATATTTTATATAAGCTTAAACTAATTATAAATAATAATTTAATCTCTATATTTAGCCCTCTAATAGTTATATTTCCTCTAAAAATATATCTTAAGCTTTAAGTACTGCTTAATAAAATTAATAACCTAGCGCGTACTAACTAATAATATATTACAATTAGTAAGCAGTTAATTCGCCATTTCTTTAATATTGCAATACTAGGAAGGAAATCCTCGCAAATCTAAGTTAAGGATATACTAGACTATAACCTATTCCTCTAGATTACTTAGTTTCTAAGAACTTAGGATATAATCATTACGAGCCTGCCTGCCCTAAGATTAGTAGTGGAGGGTCTGGAAGTAAATATTATAGATCTTTGCAGCTTATTGCAGACTTAATTTTAGGTCTGCCTAATAGGCCTAAAGCGCAAGAATAATATAAGCCTTAGCAGTAGATTGTAATATGTTATTTAATTGAGAATTAATTAATTAGATGGTTATGATGTAAGGTGAGGGATTTTTGTCTCGCGCACTTGTCTGTCTCGCATGCTTATCGTGTATGTTATATAATAGATAATATAGGACTTCTAGCTCGTCTTCTTTCACAAGGTTTGCTCAAATTGCATAACCTCCTATAGTTCAACGACCATACGGCCATCGTCATGATGAACACTCCAGGAACAACTCCAGGCTTCTGAATACCCCTCGTTTCACCCCAGCTCGGCGTGCTCAATTTTGCCAGACATGAGTGTCATGAAACAACTGTTATAATGCCCACCGAAATGATCCTGGCACCAAACTGTGCCGCAGATATGCCAGCGGCATTGGAAAGTTATCCGGGCCATCGGCAGGTAGACTACAGTTGTCAACAGGCCGGCGGACAGCTTCTTCAATTGCTCAGCGGAATTCCGACAATCCTATGTACGACCTGGGGTCGCTGTGAAACAGGATGTAACAATTTTTTAGACAGTTAAAACATAAGCTTGATCGACAAGTCGTTTCAGAAAATTATTTTCCTTTCTGATGCAGACGACGTGACATCGTGCGTGGGTGAAATGCTTAGAAACCTGCCTGAAACGGAAGTGTCTGAACACCACACTAAGGGGCCCTCAGACATTTTGAAACTGCGAGTGTATTTTAAAAGAACACAAAAGTGTATGAGTATATAAGATCTGGTTATCACCTGATCGGATTTTATAAGACACTAATACATCGTACACTTCAGACCGCTTCACTTCTTTCCCCAAACGTGTTTTATCTGCTGGCAGAACTATTCTTTTTCTTTCCTCCACTTTCAAAATGAAGTACCTCATTCCTCTATCTCTTCTTATTGCCAGTGCATTCGCCCAGGACGGGTTAGATTTGACCATCCCCTTGTAACAATACGAGCTAACAGATGCCTAGCTGCGGCTTTCCCGATGGACCCGATTGCGTATCCCTGGGCGAAGGAGCAAGTGGACTAGAGCAGTTTGCTGATGACGGCTGCTGCCTCTTGCCTATCCGCTGCGGTAACGGGGACGGAGGTGAGAGGTGTGAGAGGGTTGCTGCTGGAGGCAATAGCAACAACAGCAACAACAACAACAACAAAAATGCCAATGCCAATGACAATGCAAATGCCGGCAATGGAAACGGTAACGTGAATGGCAACGGCAACAATAACACCAATTCCAACGGCAACGACGAAAACTGCGGCTTTCCCAATGGCCCGGATTGCGAGTCTCTCGGCGAAGGCGCTAACGGCCTCGAGCAATTCGCTGACGACGGCTGCTGTCTCCTCCCATTCCGCTGCGGAAACGGCGATGGCGGTGAAAGATGCGAACGGGTGCCTGTGGCTGCAAACAACAGGGTTCGCTTTATCAGGGCTGCCAGATCTCGCTACAGTGGAGTCAGAAAGTGATTCTCGCTGGGAAAGATTGAAGAGCTGGTTGAGGGACAGTTCTAGGAACTCCTTATATTAGTCTATCAGTCTGAATTGAAACATCTCGAAGAGCCGATGGCATAATGCTCAAAAATGACTCTATCCGTAAAGTAAAACAATCAAATGCTCCTCTCTACCGATATCAACATCTCTAAAGGCGACAGCCCCCGTGCCTGCCCTTGATTGTACCTCCTGTCACAAGAGGGACTTTAGCAAAGCGCGATGTATAACGAATCCTTCCAAAACATGGTGACTCTATATAGAGGGATGTATAACCTAGAGCTCGGCTTAGACGCCGGCCACCGGTTAGTATTGCGTGTCTTCCGCAAGTGAACCCGTTTCTGCCTCAGCTAAATCCTAAGAGCGACTTTTGTCCAAATTAGCAAAGGACCCATACTTATTAACGTGCGCATAGGTCTTCCACATAACGATAGTGCTATCAAACCACAGCCAGCAACTTGCTCCCGAAGGGAACCATGCGTAGACTCACCTCCAGGTCGTAAACAACCCTCCAACCCAACAAGTAACAAACGACGTAATCGCCCTCCCCTGACACTTGATGCCTTGCGCCGGCTGCTCCCTGGCAATTAATTTTGTATAGAAATTCTTTTGGCGCTTGCAGGACATGGGTCAGGTCGCAATGAAAATTGAGAGTAGCCGGCAATTAGTAGTTCACCCGTAAAGCTGAGCTTTGCGGTTTAATCAATATCTATATTAATTTATAGATCCGTAGGACAGTCCGCTTATTAACGTGTTTGCTTCGCGATATATTTTTTTAATGTTCGTAGAGTAATAGCGTTTATTGATATAAGTTACATGGCCGCATAGATGCGTATTGTTATATAATAGTTATATGTTATAAGGTAGTGTTATATGACTTTATAATACTTATATAATAATAAGGTTATATATAATAACTAAATAGGTAGAATTAAGATATTATAGCTCTGTATCTTTATTTATAGTATTTTAGTTATTTTATAGACTTATATTTATAAATATTATATTATCTCTAGCTAGTAAATTATATAATAAATTTAATTTACCTTTTTTATAAGGCATAATTAGTCTTTCTTATATCTAGTTATTAATATATTTTACCTTCTTAAGATTCTTATAAGTAATTTAAAGCTAATTTTATAAAGTAATATATTAAGTACTTAAGAATGCTCTCTTTAGCTTAGCTAATTTAAATAAGATAGAAAGGATATTAATAGCTATCTAACTAAGTTATAAAAACTATATATATTATTTAAAATAAGATTATTATTTAAAAGAAATATAGTTAATTTTAAAAAATAAAGTATTAATAAAGGAATTTAAATTATTTAAATTAGTAAAAATAGCCTTTTATATTATCTTAATTAACTTAAAAAGAAATAATAACTTATTATCTTATTTTAGAGGTAGTAATATAAGATAATATTTTAGTTTTTTTAAAATAGTAAATCTTTAATACTTTATTATTTAGATATATTATAATAAATAGAACTTTAGTAAATAGTTATTTAAATACTCTTTAATATTAATAAACTAATTAAGAAAAAGGCCTAGCTAAATTAACCTAGCTATACTAGATATTATAGCTAAAAATTTTAAGATTATAAGGATTATAAGGTAATGGCAGAACTAGCAAAAATAGGGCATTATAAGCCGCCTATATTATAAGGATAAATATACTAATATTAAACTAAATGAGCTTAAGTGAACCCAAGCGACTCTGAACGTAGGCAGGGAAAGAGAGGAGAAGATCCACTACGTTGGTAACTTACGGCATATACAGGCGACCAATATACTTGTAAAATGGTTTTCACTAGTTGAACCCTGTAGTTGCTTTCACAACAATCACGCCTCTTGTTTCGAACTTGTTCAGCTGAGATGGCCAACTTGATGCAAAACGGGGCAACTCCGGTATAGCGCGACAGATATGTTGCCGGGAACCTTCCGTCCATCCCTCCTCCTGACCCAGGCAGTTAAGCATATTACCCAAAGGAGGGGTTTGACCCCGGAAAGGGTCAATAAACTGCGCCGCCCAAAGGTCAAGTAATTCCATAGTTCAATAACGTTTGGTACTAAGGCGTTCGGGTAATAGGGTCAATGCAAAGACAGGCTTTAAGGTAAGAAGGACTTTCATTTATTACTATGCCAACGCCACATGACGTAGTAGATATGCGTGTTATGGGGAATCGCCCCCTCCTTCCAGATGTGAATCTTCTGAATGCATTGGTTCGTGGGCTTGATGGACAAAATAACATAGACCTTGCTTAGCTTCCCGCTCTGGGTTGGCCCTGATATGCGTCCAGATGACAACGTTGGTGCAGGCAGGAGAATGTAACTACAAGGAACGGAATCGGGCGGCGATAGGCATAACTAATGCGAATATCCACTTATTTGAATGTATAAATATGAGAAGGCCGATGAAGATCCCAATGCCAACTCATTCGTTTCCTCTCACATCCTCCACCCTCATCACGGCGCATGCTGTCTCTAGCCCCCACCAGCACAGCAACAATGTACATTTTAGGGCTTTTCATCCTTTTAGCATCCTTTCGAGGAGGTCTGGCTGAAACCACTCAACCAGACTACAAGCATTTGAACTTAGGTAAGTATATTTCGTTGATTGCTCCCGTAACGCGCAACTCAGTCTGGTCTCAACCGTGCAGCTGGCCGTGATTAGACTGTGGCAGTAGCCAAAGCCAATGTCTGGATTGCTCAATTAGATCTCGAAGAAAAAATCATATTGATTACTGGCAATGGCTCTGCCGGTGCCTGCACCGGAAATCTCGGCCCTATCCCGCGAATGAACTTTACCGGCATGTGTCTGGCCGACGGCACCTCAACCGTCACCCAGACCGATCTCGTCAGCATCTTCCCGGCCGGCCTGACGACCGGCGCCACGTGGGACAAGGACTTGATGTACCGCAGAGCTGTCGCTATGGGCGAGGAGTTCAGAGGGAAAGGAGTTAATGTGGCACTGGCGTGAGTTTCAAATGGTCGCGTGAGTATGACATGCTTCGCTAACATTATCATAGACCAGTCTGTGGGCCGCTCGGGCAGAATGCCTTGGGCGGTCGTAACTGGGAAGGCTTTTCATCAGACCCTTACCTCGCAGGAATTGCTACTGGGCTCACAGTGAGCGGAATCCAGAGCATGGGTGTACAGACATCCGTCAAGCACTACATCGCCAACGAGCAGGAGACCCAGAGGAGCAATAGCACATCCGCGAAGGGTCAATCCGTTGATGCAATCTCCTCTAATCTGGATAATAGGACCCTGCATGAGCTATACCTCTGGCCCTTCGCTGACTCGGTCAAGGCCGGCGCTTCCTCTATCATGTGCTCATACAACCGTATCAACCAAGTGTACGGCTGCGAGAACTCGGCTCTACTGAATGATGTACTAAAAAAGGAACTTGGATTCCTGGGCTTTGTCGTGGCTGACTGGTTTGCAACCCATTCCACCGCGGAATCAATCAACGCCGGCTTGGATATGGAAATGCCAGGCTGGATCGACTCGTCGTTCAGGAGACCTGACATTTCTGTATTCTTTGGTGAGAAGATTATAGCGGCGGTGAGGAACGGGTCGGTAACTGAAGGGCGAGTGGACGAGATGGTTCGAAGGGTCATGACGCCCTATTTCTACATGGGACAGGATGCTCCTGACTACCCCAGTCCTGATCCCGTGGGATTGCCGATACTCTTATCCCAGAATTTTGGTATTGCAGAAGGCCTTCGACTAGGTCTCCTCCCGGCAGGCGACCTACCAACAGGGCGCGACGTACGGGGCGATCATGCAAGTCTCATCCGAGAAGTCGGGGCCGCTGGCACCGTGTTGCTGAAAAACGTCAATAGCACGCTTCCTCTCAGTTCTCCACGCTGGATTGGCGTATTCGGCAACGACGCTACTGACTTCAGCGACGGTCTTACTGGCAGGGCGATTGGGGCGCTGTCTAGCGGTCAAGGCACACTCTCCATCGGTGGCGGCGGCGGCGCCGGACGCCACACATATATTGTCCCTCCTCTCGAAGCAATCAAGGCCAAGGCGCGCAGTACTGGCGCCATCGTCCAGTATATCACCAACAATACCCTCTTGGAGGCTGCCAATGAGATAAACAGCATTTACCCCATCCCGGAGGTGTGCATAGTTTTCTTGAAGAGCTTTGCCAGCGAGGGTTCAGATCGCACCTCGCTCGAAGCCGATGGTAATTCAACAGCAATCGTCGAGAACGTTGCCGCGCTCTGCCCCAACACTGTTGTAGTTACACACTCTGTCGGCACTCTCGTCACGCCATGGGCGAAGGATCCTAATGTCAAGGCCATTTTAGCAGCGAATCTACCGGGACAAGAGTCAGGCAACTCAATTGTCGATATCCTATGGGGAGACGTCAACCCGTCAGGAAAGCTGCCGTACACTATTCCGGTCAACGAGACAGATTATCCACCACCTATTACCAACATTACTAGGCCTGTGTCAAACAGCAGTGCCTGGCAGGCCGACTTTACCGAGGGCCAGCTCATCGATTACCGTCACTTCGATGCGAAAAATATCACGCCGCTCTACGAGTTCGGCTTTGGACTAAGTTACACGACTTTCGACATCCCGTCGCCTTCGCCCTTGGTCATTACGCGTTTAGCACCCAACATTTCTGTACGACCCGATGCAGCACGCCCGACTGAGCCTCGAGGCAACCCCGATCTGTGGTTGGACCTTGTCAGTATCGAAACCAAGGTGTCGAATACAGGCTCCGTAGCTGGGCACTCTGTTCCCCAGTTGTACCTTTCATTGCCGTCTACTACCCCCGGTGGGACACCAGTTCGGATACTGCGCGGTTTTGAGCGCATTTATCTCCAGCCAGGCGAAGCTAAAAGCGTGAAGTTCATGCTGCAGCGACGGGACCTGAGTTTCTGGGATACCGAGGTGAACATATGGGTGATCCCTAGTGGCCTTTTTTCGTTCCAAGTCGGTTTCAGCTCCCGTGATCTTCGAAGCAAAGGTTCATTGGCGGTTTTGAGCTAAGATATCGTTATCTTGTATGATACATATCAATGGATTCCGTTAGAGAAATCCCGTGGAAGAAATAAGGTGACTGCATTTGGGCTTCATGGACCATCAATGGAATCCAGGACAAGAACTCATTTGACTTTCTTTTAACATGGTGCAATGCTGTCGTTATTTGGACTTTATGCAAAGAAGGAAGGTTGTTCCGGGTAGCATTGTTGCTGCTGAGTGAAGTAGAAAGTTAGTACCGTACCTAGAGGCGATTTTCTTACACTCGCTCCTAGCAGAAAAAGGGTTTACGCAGACATATCAAACGCAATGCTTGAATTCGTTGAAGAATTACAAATGTTCCAGAGAAAGGAGTCAGATGTGTTCAGAGCAGGAATGAGGCACACAGAGATCGTTGCATGGCATAAATAAGATGAATAGTCGTACACACAACGATGGAACATATGGCCTTCCGATTAGATGACCCCCTTGGTTTAGTCCAGCTACCTTGAATGAGTCTCGACAACTTCGGTATGGTCATGCTACAAGCCAATCTTAACTTGAACTTTAAAGGCTCGAGTCATCAGGTAAGACGCGTACATGACGCGTGCGGTACTACTCATCTGCATATAAACGCGAACGTAACACTTTCGCTAGCTTTTAATAATGGTCACCATTTCATTCCAGGCAGTATCAATATTTACATTAAAAAAAGGTCATTCTCGAATCAAACGATCAGTCACTATCATAAAAATGTTACCCAGAAGTACCAAGGAAGACCATTCCAAGATCACTGAACGGAACGAGACAACCCCATAGCTACAACGCACTAGCTGGCCTGAGCTGTTCCATAATCGACCACTCGGTGTTATCGCCACTTCGGCACGCCAACCAGGTACGGCCAAAGGAAAAGGGTTATTACTCGGCGATTGTGAAGGGCTCCCCTTTGAAGTTCCGCCGATGCTGAATCACAACTACATGTTCTCTTAGAAGGTATCGACCTCATGTTCGATAGGGCCGGAGCCACGCTTCCTCCTACATCGTACGCGTCTCGCTGCTGGTTAAATATATATTCGAAGGATGTCTTTGGCCACATCAATTTCGCATCGTATCGAGCATAAAGAGATAGAAATATGTATAGAAACGGTTCATATGTTTCTTTTCTCGCATTTTTAGTCGCATTTTTAGGTATCGACCATCTCAGCGGCGAGACATCTTCAATATAACACTGGGGTCGAAAGAAGAGAAGATGATACATCTTAGCCCTACTAGCTGGGCTGCAACTAGCAGGAGAAGAGCATAGTGGTGCTCTAGACCCAATAGACTGGGAATCTAGTGACGACGACAATAGAGAGTACGACGAAGGAGATGATAGCAGCGATATCGAAATCAACGAATACACTGACGACGATGTTGACGAAGATGACGACCACGCGAATGACAAAGAGGAAGAAGGAGATTTCCGAACTGAATTTGAATCGGACTCTTCCCTACCCACCGGCTTATGACTACAGTTATCAGAGGCCTTGTTCCAGCTTTCGATGATGTTTTGGACGCATCAGGATCCTGCTGGAGATATGTCTTCCTCGGTGGTCATTCATTACACAGCAATCATGGGAATACAGCAGTATTCTCTTGCCTCTCGCTCAGCACATAATTCTACCTCTAGGTTGGCCGCTTTGATTTGGATCGGCCGCCTCTTATTCCTATAATATGCCTGGCCTATTCATAGCTGCTCTACTCTTGTTTACGAGTGGCCGTCCCGGGACCAATATCCATCACAGCCTGACCGTCTCGATGCGATTCGAAGGGCGTACATTGTACGAGGGTGTTACATTCTATTTGGGGAAATCGCCGAACTCAAGGCGTTAGCAAAATCAATTGTTAAGCGTGAAGGCATTCCGGGGAATCTTTCCTGAGCGCCAGATGGGCTATCTTTTACAATCGGGGACGATAAGAAATTTGAGCTGTCTGAGTTTTGCAAAACCCACTGCAGAGCAGTAGGTCTAGTCAAAGAGCAAGTGAATGAGATGATGTTGGGCTTGGTGATAGATGTTGACTTGGATCATATCGAGGATGATCTGACCTATCCAAAAGTCGGATGGTCCTTTCTTCAGAAAGCCGAGAATAAACTGGCCGATATCTGGACAATGCTAATTGACAAGGTCATATTGTCCAGTTTTCGTGGAAAACCGTATATCAAAGATACTGACTGGCAAGTTGAGACCTGTATGGCATATCTGAATGCGGGAGTTACCCGCATTAAATCGGCCTTCGCTGGTTTGCCTGGTCGAGGCACCAAGGTCACGGGCATTCGATATGTCAATACTGAGCTAGCCATACGCAATTTTTTCTTTCGCGGAGGCCGAATGATTATCATCAGCTATAGCAAAGCTCGAGTATCGAATAACTGCGCTTTCTACATCGTTCATTACCTTACTCCCAACTTTAGTTTAAGCCTGTTGAAGTATCTCGCCATCATGCAGCCAACTTTGAGTTTCATAGCGCAACAGCTCAAGATACCTTACAATCTAGACAACAAATGCTTATTCCCAGATCCTTGTGGGAAACGAAAGCACCTTAGCTCTGCACAAGCTTCCGAAATCCTCAAAGATCTAACCCAGAATCTCCCTACACCATGGACCTTATCCTCGTATAGACGGGCATCCCTTGCTATCGCTAAGCACTAGATTAGCAAACTAGTCGAAAGATCAAATTTCTACTACCCAACTAACGCTACTAATCCAATTCGAATCTTTGCAGCCAGAGCTGGTCACCACCCTCGAATGCTGTTAACAGCATATGCAATCGATAAGGCCTCCCCAGCCCATCTTCAGCCGGATCTTCTTGAGATATATTATGGATTATCTACCATATGGCAGAACTGGAATCAACAATACCGTTGCGAAAATCTCCTATGTTCGAGAGCGGAAGCACATAGTGGCACGACTGCCGAACCCAAGTCTCGCAAGAGACCATGCCAACCAGACGATTTAGTAAGACACTTCAAGAAGGTTAAGAAAGGCGTTAGTAGCTCTGGCAGCAAAAGGAATGGGAAATCCCTATCCGAAGGCCAGCCATAGGTGCACCTATGAGTCGCGATTCTAGAATAGTTCAGGCTTGATATCGATGTTTAAGACAACGGGATGTGGCGAAGATTTCGCATTCACACCGACCAAACTTAAACTTGGCCCTGCCACTGAACTAGCTACAATATGCTGCGATAAGGTACGGGCCACTGCCGGCTGGAAGTTTTCCAGAAATCCGCCGGCTGCGATACCTCCACTCTCCCGAAAACTATTTTCCCAATGGGACAAATACCAAATCAGAAGTACGACTCTTAGCCGCGATAGACTGTCTTTTTACAAAGTATCCATTGACCAGGTAAGTACCCTCTGTGGACTCTGTGACAAGCCTTCTCGTTAACCTCTATACAAACCTCGTACATCGACGCTACCCAGGCATCTCTAGTTCACAGTGACATTCGCAGTGAAATGCTGTAGATCTATCCCATTCTTCGATATCTACCTTTTCAAAGTCTTAAGAGCTTTTTGAGTGCTTATAACATCGTTAATGACCATGGCTCTATAGGCGTCCGAAATATATAAAGCGCCAGCAATGGACTAAGCAAGGCCAACTTATTGAGTCAGATGCTCGCTGAAGCTGATGGTCAGGATAAGACGACCCTCTCGATATCAACCGTGCAAGCAGAAGCGGGAAATCTTATTCTTGCCGGATTAGCTACCACAGCTACTACCTTAACATATCTGATCTGGGCCATCCTCAAGCAGCCCCAACTCCAGGCTGATTTGGAACGTAAAACCTCCGAGCTCGGTCACGAGTTGACTCTCGAGAAGCTTAAGAATGCGCCGCTTCTCAATAGTATCATTGAAGAGACGCTTCGTCTATATGGCGCTGCCCCTTTTTCTCTTCCACGTGTGAGTGTCGGGGCGCTAGACTCGGTTCTGAGATGACGGATGAAATGATGGAGATGGACAATCCTGTGTTCATTGCACCCAGGGGTCATTAGTGCATTATCACAATTTAAAGCAAGGACTGATAACATCAATTCATATGTATTATTATCATCCCTCTAAAGAAATAACGCCCACGTCTGTTCCTGTTGCGTGTTTAATCGCGTAAGAGACTAGATCCAGGGTATCCTTGAAAACAAACAGCTCATCTGTGGTACCGAGGACCTTATCAAAATGTGCCAAGTAGCCCTCTGGAGTCATCTTATGGCAGTAGCGAGGTACCATAGCTATTGTCGTTCTCGCTGCTCTCCCACCTCCCGCACTAAAAAGCTCTCTAGATACCAGACATTCTTCGCTGCATAGTGCAACAACAAAGTCCGCCATAACATAAGTTTAAAAGTATTCTCTTATAATCTATTTAATAATAGGTAATAGATCTAATATATATTATACTACTAAGGGTAAAATACCATTAATCTTAATACCATGCTTAGGACTTATACATCCAAGATCTCAGGTTAAACTAAAGGTAGAGCCTTTGCTTAACATATAGCTACCATCGCCCTTAGCTCTTATACTAATAAGACTATTAGATGAGGTATTGATTATTCTCCTATAACCTTGCTTCTCTATAGTAGGATATACTATATTAATGAATATGATAGTGCCTAGTGCAGCAATTTCCCACATCCGATGGAATGACTTGACGTTTACGTTATTGTGGGCACTGGCTTGACTAGTAGTTCCTGTATTATTAACGAGGATATGGATCGTCCTGTATGAAGATAGGGTGTCTTGCACGAGTTATTGTACTTCGCTTTATAAAGAGATATCATGGCCATCTGCAATCGCCTCTCCACCAGAATCGTCACCGTCGTAGACGGCGAAGGTCATGTCTTAATTTCTAAGAAGTAGATGACGAAAACCTTTGTCACTGGAGACATACTATCGTTTGTCCTTCAGGCAGGAGGTAAGATCGAACCACTGATCTCCAATTAAGCCGATATCTTCCTGTACTAACTATAAGGATCTAGGCGGTGGCCACCAGGCTTCTGGAACCCTTGAAGCGTTGGATAGCGGAGCCAAAGTCATCATTGGAGGTCTTTTTTTCCAATTGATCTTTTTGGCGTTTTCATTGTCATTGCCATAGCCTTCGATCTCGCATCCGGCAGCAACCGACAGGACGTTCCAACAGCGGAGTTCCTTGGAAGAAACACATGTTTGCTTTCTACGCTGGCAGTATGCTCGTCATGATACATTCTGTATTCAGGGCTGTTGAGTACCTCCAAGGCTTTGATAGGTATCTATTACGCCATGAGGCGTATTTGTATATCTTTGATGCGACGCTCATGTTTATGGTTATGGTCTTATTCAATTGGATACATCCTTCTGAGATCAGCGCGATCTTGAACGAAAGAAATACTGGCAAAGGGTACAGCATGGAAGCCTTGGCGGGGTACCCTTAAATTAAAGCACATCACGAGTGGAGGGTATCTAAAGAGGGTAATGTTACTTCTTCGGGAATGGGATTTTAGACGGGCAGCAGTTGTGGGCATTAAGAACAAGCGAAGCGGTAGACAAGGAATAGACAGGAAGGTTTGGGATACATCCGATAACGGATAAAGGCTCTAGATTATAGCTTGCAATAAGTATGATGCTTTAGAATTCGGTATCTCTATCTTGCTCATATGTTCCTATTTCCCAAGCCAACAACTTCAAGTGGCCACGCTACCCAATTTCTCCAATAGGAGCCCAGTAGATCATCTATCGCTTCGACGATATTATATCCCCATCCTTCCATGAACCAAGATTCATTGAGTGAATGCAACAAGGCACCATAAAAAGCATACAAAATCAAGGCCGGTGGCTGTCTTTGGTGCAACAGAGAAAAGTATTCCTCTGGGGCAAAAGGCACAAAAAGAAAGGCTCCTTGCCAAGCTCTGTTGAATTCTGCTTCGCTGTGATCTTCGCCCGTCCATTGTCGAGAATTGAGCCATAAACATGCGACATTGTCTGAGAACCCATAAGCTTTTTTCGTATATCGATGCATCAGGGTTATTCTTCCATACATCCCTCGTCTGACAGAAGCGCTGGTCATCAGGATTCATGATCTTGTCAGGGTCCATAACATCAAAGTTTCCCACACTCAGGAGCTCCCTGAAAAGGCCCGCTCTTAAAGTGGACAAAGATGGTGACAGTATAGCCAAGATGCCTCGAACCATTGGGATCTATCCTGTGCCCAGTATGCGATCTTTGCGGCTACCCCAGCCTGACTCATCCCAAAGGCCTTCACCCAGTCGTCCAGAGACACCAAAGACGTAGAAAAGATTGAGGGAAGACCAGACAAACAATGCATCAGCTAATTCGTCGTTGGCCATATGGATAGCTTCGTTAAATCCCTGCAAGCCCTGATTGTGATAGCGAGCTGCGTCTGCTGTATATTTAAGCCTCTCTTGAGGATCGAGATACGCAACATGGAGGGCGGTTAGGCCAAGAAGAGCTTGCATAACAAAGGGGTGTTTTAAAGCTATTTGGGGGAAGGTGACTTGGCAGGCTACCGATAAGCCTGAATTCTTATAAATATCGATACTTGTCGAAACAGTCCAGTGATAGAGAAGTGCCATGTTCTCGATCTCAAATATGGCAGACGATTGCTCGCGTGACTGTCTCAGAATAGCTAGACATGCAAGTAAAGCTAGACTGGGAATTGGTGAAATGTGCTGACCCCGGTTCAATGGCGGTGTAAGTGTTGAAGTTGAATCGGGTGAAGTTTCATCGCCATGTTAGGTAGCTGGCGAGTGACCAGCCGACAAGGATCTAGCCTGAAGAGACGGATACTGGCATTCAACTCCGCGTCGGCAACAGGCACAGCACTCAGGTTTCTCTTCGCTACACTATTGCGTGAGTTAACGACCTGTGCCATATCTGCGTTTCAGCGCCGCCACAACTAAAACCACATACCTTTACTCGGCGTCTTCTACAATCAAGACACCCAGTCTTTGCTTTCTTGTGTGCTCGACGAGATTTTGCTCCACCACCGTTCACCATTACGACGTCACGAATCTCGCTACTCATAGCCGCCCAACGATAGTGTAGAGGAGGGAGGCGAATAGCTGAACGACAGACCACGCGTTTAGGGCCACTGAACGAGAAATGCCGGCACTTAGTAGAGGTATACAATATTGCTTGTGTGTAATGATGAACGAAGATCGAAGAGCGAGAGGAAAGTTGTTCCTGGATGACTTGAAGCTGAGATTGGAATGAGGCGAAGCAAGAACGAAGCCGAACGAAGCTTAACGAGATCTAAACGAGGTTGCCAATTGAAACGAGGTACAGAGCCTATGCGATTGGCGGAAGACGAGTGGACAACTCCGTAGATGATGGTTCATAGCCTAGCCTAAGATAGTGACTGTCGGCCAAATCTGCGGCCACGCACTTTGTTGTATGACGCTTGAAAAAGTGTACCCGTTGACTCATGTGGGGCGAGCCCGGGCGAGCTAACTTAGCAAGCTAAGTTAGTCCTAAAACCCTAGGACACTCCTTAACCCTGGGATAGCCCCTTACTATAATGCATCTAAATTTACCTATATTTCCTATTGAAAAACGTTAAAAAAGAGAAATATAATAATATCATCTAGTAACTTTATATCTAACCTTATTATAATTGCAAATAACCTTAAGGCTATAAAGGAAGTAATCTAGTTATATATTAACTTTACTAATTAACCTTAATATACTTCTTCTGCTAGTATAATAAAGCCACTCTCTATTAGGGCTATAATAATAAAATATAAGGCTTTTTAAAGCAGTATAGTTAACAGGCTTATTAAGTAGCTAGAGAATCCGAATTTTATAAGGCTAGTAAGGCATCTATAATCCCTAACTAATAAAAAAAAGGACACTATTATTACCTTTGTTATATGAATAAAAAAGTCTAGTTTTCTAGCTTTTAAACCTAAAATAAAAGATATTACTAATATACTTTATTACTACTAGGATTTAAAAAAAAAGCTAGTTAGTTATTTTTAGCATAACTACTTCTATAAGGATTATCCTAAATTATAAAAGATATTCTTTAAGGCTATTAAGAAGTCCTATAAGTCCTAGGAAGCTAGAGGTATTACTAACCTTAAAAGCTGGTTTAAATAACTTATTAAGACTATTAGGACTTTTAAGATTAATACCTCTAAGTGCTAAAATTCAGATTAAGCCAGGATCTAAGTTAGCTACTTATATAAGTAGGTATAATACCTTATTATTATGATAGTTATAGCAAGCATTCCAGGGTAAGAGGTCTAAGCTTTATTAGTAGGGCTAGATAGATATCTATAATAATAGGCATAAAGGGATAGATTCCCTTAACAACTTTAGCTTTTTATACTTTTTCTTATATATAATATTTTTACTCTTTTCCTTTATATCTAATACTATTAAACTAATTATTTAATTCTTTATCTTATAATAAAGACCTTATCTTAATTAAACCTAATTAGTAGTTTCTACTTAGCTTATAATTAAAAGTATTAAAAGATATTATCTTATATTATCTTTTCTTTATTATTACTTTTTACTTTTAAATTAATCTTTAAAACTTAAAAATCTATTATATTAATATAATTAGTTTTTAAAAGGACTTTAAAATAACTTAATTATTTAAAAAAAAGGTATTTTTATATTATTTAAATTATAAATTATAATAATTAAAAAAAGAAAAAATATATTTAATAAAGAATAAGTAAAAGGCTATAAGAAATAATAAAACTACTTATAAAAGTAATAAGAAGTAATAAATCTTTTAATTACTAAGCTAAGAATAGTAAAACTAAATAAATTATATATATAAAAAGTAATATTAAAATTATAAAGCTAGTATTATTTTATAATAATTCCTTATATTAAGGTAGTAATAAAATCTACTTTATAAAGAAGTTTAATCTTAATTTAATAAGAAAATATTAAAATTATATTATATATTATAAATTATAATAAACCTAATATAGCCTAAGATTAATAAAACTTAAAAATAAGTATTAAGGTACTTATTATATTACTTAAATATAAATTATTTAAAAAAAATTACTTTTATAATAACTAAACTTATTAATATTTTATTAAAATATTTTAAAATCTTATAAAATCTATTAATTAATTAAATTTTAAAAACTTTAATATAAAATATTTTTATATATATTATATTTTAAACTTTTATAAGGAATCTAGTAGTGATAATAATAGCTAATATAATTATATTATTAAAGATAAATAAAAGGGATATTTATAACTCTTTATAATTATTCTCCTATTTAGAAAAGACCTTATTTTAATTAAACTTAATTAGCAGTCTATACTTAGCTTATAATAAAGAGTATTAAAAGATATTATTTTATATAGTCTTTTTTTTATTATTACTTTTTACCTTTAAATTAGTTTTTAAAACCTAAAGAATTAACTTTATTAATATAATTAGGGGAAAACTAATATAAACTAGACTTATCCCTAAAAATTAAATATTACCTAATTTATTATATCTTAATATTAGAATTAGCTATTAATTTAATTTATATTAAAACTAGTAATAAACTATAATAAATTATAAAACTAAAAGTTTATAAAGTAAAGGTAATTAAAAATATATAAAAACTAATAAAATACCTTATTAATGCCTAATAACTCTTAAAAAACTTCTATTAAAAATTAAAACTAAATCTAAAATAGCAGACTAATTAATAAGGTCTATTATACTAGCTTTAATTCATTTTACTATAATAGTAAAATTAAAAGATATAACTAAATTCTCTACCTTCTTATATTTATTTATTATTTTAGTATCTTACTTAAAAGCCTTTAGAGTTTTAAATTAAATAAGATACTTTTAGTAATAAAGATATATAAACTTAGATAAATACTTATTTAATTAATATTATAATTAAATAAGCTTATCTTTAATAGCTTTTTTATTAACTTTAATATAGTTTTTCTCTTAAATTAAATAATCTACTATTTAAAGATTAATAAAATATTATATATAAAGAAAATATATAACTAACCCTTAGTTAAAATTATACCTTTACTATTATAAGTATAACTTTAATAGGTATATTTAAAATAATTCTTCTAGCTATCCTTTATTATATATTTAATATAATTCTAAATATATAAAAAATATAATATAATCTTATAATTAGTAAAAGTAATAAGTTTTATATAAATAAGATAATACTAAGTTTTTAAATATAATATAATTAATATAAAAATAATTATAAAGCTAAGTTTTATATATTAAGGAGGAATTAATATTATAATAAATAAGCAAGGTCTTAAAAATAAAAACTAAGAAAGGGAAGAGATTATATTATAATCCTAGTAATTATATTATATATACCTTATATTTTCTTCTAATTATAAATAGTTATTATATATTAAAAGATTCTTTTTTTTTCCCCCTTACTTTTAGCCTTATATAAGGCTATTAAGCTTTTTAGCTTTTCTATTAATAGTTTAAATAATAAGACCCCTATAGCAGGCTATTAGTATAGAAATTAAAATTAAATAAGGTTTATCTGCCTTAGTAATATAATTACTGCCTTAACTAAGTAATACTAATACTAGTTATATCTTAATAGCTAAATTAACCTTTTTCCTTTAACCTATCTAAAAAAACCTTAATTAACCTTTATAACCATACCTAATTTATCTATTGCATTTAAGTATATTATCTAACCTGACTTTCCCTTTTAACCCTTCTTACTAATAATATAATAGCTATACCATCTTAATGCCTATATAAAATAGCCTGCAGCTATATAATTATGCCTACTGCATAACTAGTTATAATCTCAATCTAGCTATTAGGCCTGCCCTAGAGGCAGCTAATAAAGAAGAACTCTACATAATATATATAATAGTTATTACTATTATAAAGAACTTCTTATTAAAAAGTAGATTTAACCTTATTAAGATAGTTATTTTTAATTATAGCCTAATTTAGTTAATTCATTATATAAAAGAGAGGTATTATATTAATTTAATTAATTTAAACTAGGTTAATAATAAGCTATTAAGTCTTAATAACTTAGAAATAGCCTTAAGGAAAGGTTATCCTTTTTAAATTAGTTAAGGTAGCTTTTCTTACTGTCTTTATAAGTAATTTAGCTATATATAAAAAGTGACTTCTTAATATATCTATAAGGGCAGCTAATATTACTAAAGAGCTGCTTTTAAATTAGTAAAGAGTTCTAGGATAAATGCAGGGTAAATGCAGGGTTTAGAAATTCTATTAAAGTTAAAATATATTAAAGGAATTATATTAAGTTTTATATAAGTTAGTTAGCAAAAGTTAAATTAACTTAAAGTTATAACTAGCTTAATTAATTAAATATATATAATAAGGCATATAACTAATTAACCTTATATATAAAAATAAATAAAGTAAAATTAGTAAAAAAGCAGTAATTTAAACTAGGGATATACTTATATAACTTATACTATAAAAAGTAAAAGTTATTTATATAATTAAAATATTTTATTATATTAATTTAATAATTAATAATAATAATAATAGTAATATAAGTAAAAATAAATATAATAATATTCTTTTACTAATTTTATAATAACTTAAGCCCTTTTTACTTACTTTTTAATTAAACTTACTTTTTATTTTATTAATAATACCTTATATAAATATAATTATTATATCTTTATATAATAATTAAAATAAGCTCTCAATTAAATACTATATATAGGCTACCTTTATTAATTAATATATATTAAATTTAATATTTATAATTAAACTTAATAATTAATTATATTTAAAGTATTTCTTTAAAAAAAAAAAAAACTTTATTATAATCTTATAGCTAAAGTTTATAAACTTATAAGTTTTTATAAAAATTATATTATATCTTATAAGTAAATTAGAGTTTATTAATTACCTTAAATTTAGTTTATTAGCTGCCTTATATTATACTAGCATTCTTTTATTTTCTATTAAAATTATTTTATTAATTGCCAAATAACACAGGGGATACTATTTACTAGCCTTATAGACCTAAAGACCGCCAAGACCTATAAGAAGCTTTAGGAGCTTATAGGCCCTCTAGTAACTGCCTAGCTTAATACCATAATAGGCCTAACCTTAACTAAAACGCGGGCTATCTTAGTAGCTTCTATAGCTAAAGAGATCCCTATAGGCCTAGCTAGGTCAGCCTGGAATACCTCTAGAAGGTCTTCTTAAATCTCTTTTTAAGCTATTTAGCCTTATATTTCTCTTTTCTAGCTTTTCTAGCTATATCCCTCTTTCCTAGCTTTTCTAGTTATATCTCTTAGCTTTTAGCTATATCTCTCCCTAGATTTTAGGCTATATCTCTTTTTCTAGCTTATTAGCTATATCTCTTATACCTGCCTTTTCTTTTTATCTTATTTCCTTATATCTTAGAAAATCTCCACTTTTCTATCTTATTAGCTAGACCTTAGTCAGAGAAAAACACCAGGGCAAAGATAGCCTAAATAGTTAATATAAACCTTATCCTAACCCTTAACCAACGAACAAGCACTGAGGATTGTCGAGAATGGAATCGAGACCAATCGGGGCTTTGTTGAAGCCGATATTATCATGCTAGCCAATGGCTTCTCCACAAATACATTCCTCGAAGGAGTTGAGGTTGTTAGGCGTGAGGAAACGTTGACTCAGCACTGGGAGTCGTTTGGTGGAGCCGAAGCCTATAACTGCTCTGCCATGAGTGGTTTCCCAAACTTCTTCATGCTTCTAGGTACGTACCTGCATGGTATGTTTTATATAACTGACTGACTGTTGGCCAGGCCCCAATTCAATAACAGGTCACACCTCGGCTATCATGGCCGTTGAGAACAGTGTCAACTTTGTACTGCGTATCCTGAAGCCTATTCTTGGCAGCCCTAACGGAGTCGTTGAGTTTGACAGGGACGCCGAAGAGCGCTACGTCAATCGCATCCAGAATGATCTGTCTAAAACTGTTTGGAACTCAGGGTGCCAAAGTTGGTACATTCAACCCCATTCTGAGAACAACCGAGTATGGAATGCCATGCTTTATCCATATTCTCAAGGATACCTATGGTACAGGAGCTTGTTTCCCGTTTGGAGCGACTGGAAGATCACAGTGAGTTATGGTTACCCGACGTGATATTTTCATGGAGGCTAACATCGTGCTAAGGGCCGTACTAATAACTGTAAATCTGTACTTCGGCTCTTGTTAAAGGCTCTATTAGTTCTTACAGGAGGTTCAGCTGCTTCCGCTTGTTTTCATGTGCTGTGGAAGTCGCAGTGGAATGTGAAAGGGCTGTACGCAGACATTGCATACCTGAAATCTAAATATAGATAAGAGAGGTTTATAGATGGATGTGCTAAAGCTTTAAATAAACTTGCCTATATCATGACGGAACTAAAACTATATTATAATACTTCTATGGCTATGCATTGGCTGCCTTATAACTTTAACAATTATATATCTATAAAATGCTTTACTGCAGTTTTATCTATTCTTTAAGGGAGATTTATAATTTAAAATTTTATTTCCTGCTTAATATAACTAGAAAGTTATAGTAGTTATTTAAGTTAGTACTATAAGATAAATAATCAAAACTTCTTAGTTATATAACTAATAAGCATCTTATGTTAAGTAGGTACAATAGCAATATATTAAGCCAAGTTTACACAACCTCGTTTAAAGTCCTGCTTTAGAGCTAAGACATCATAAGGCAGATACTATACAGAGGCACCTAACACCTATGGATCTAAAGTCCAAACCAATATATTATAAGTACGATATAAGGCATTAGAAACTTTCCATAAGGAGATAAAAGCCAGGCTAATCTAAGGCCGGCTTGGACTTGCCAGACCCGAACTGTGCGCCGAAGCCGAATAAGAGTTCTTCCTGCGTCCTCTCTTTCTCCCCCTCTTTGTCCCTAAGTCTTCCCGGATAAGAAGGGATCGTAGGCGGTGCGGGTCGAGGAGAACCGCTTCGAGCCCCAGTGCTCCAGGTCTTGGCCTCGACACTGCCAAGTGATTTTAGTCTGATGGGTCGCACGAAGAATAGTGATGATAGGCAGGGATAGATTTGATGGACGTACAGTTCTGGTATGACGATAGGAATAGGCTTAGACAGTAAGGTTAATAATCTTTATAAAGATGGTTCGAAAACCAGAGAGGCTGTCAAAGGCGTATATCAATCGGAGGTGATAGGGTCAGATGGCCAAGAAGCAGGGTCAAGATATATTTTTATAAATTTAACTTATAAAGCATTTCTCTTTTGAAACTCCTTAACAAAGTCTTTAACCCTCGGTCCAATCCTATTAGGCATATTAGCCTCTATTTCGGCATTCACGCTTTCTTTCAACAACACTAACGCGTCCGCATAAGGCTTCCACCCCTGGCTATTCCCAAAGTCAATTGCCACCGTCGGATTCCTGCTCTGCACCTGAAGGATAGATCTCCTGTACTCCTCTGTCTGCAGCTGAAAAAGCCAAAGGCAGGGACATGACACTATTCTAGCTTTCAGACCATACTCCCTTTCGAGAAACTCTTGCGTGCCCATTGCATAGTGAATCCCAACACCAGCGGTCATGAGAGTCAAGTCAAAGTCCTCGTCGTGACATTTGGAGAATGCGTAAGCTCCAAGTGTCACACCCAGACGAGACGAGTGACCAGGAAAGCTTGCGGCACCATTCTGTGGCAAGGAAATAGTTGTTGGTAACTTGGTCGATCTGATGGACACGAGAAAGGCACCTGCAGCCTCTTCGGCGTCGCAGGGGCGGATGTGAAGGGTTTCGGGCTTTGTCCTACCTGGCCTCGAACGCCTGTCTGGCTGCTGTGAAAAGTTGTCTCCTCCGAGGGAGCTGTGTTCTCCTCTCCGAGAGCGCTGCTCAGCTGGCCAGGGCGATAGAGGTGGAGTTATCGGGCCAGTGAGGGCAGTTTGGTGTTGATTGATGGTGGCTGGCTTGCCAGCAACGTGATTCCAGAACTCCCTGGCGAGCGCTGGGTATAGTTCTCGGTATCTCTTCACCCTCACCAGCCAATCGGCCTCGTAGAGGTTGATTTGCTTCAAAACATCTTGGAAGACGTCGTAAAGTTCTAGCGGGAGGTAGAGCGGAGTGTTGTTGTTGGGATGAGAGTGTAGCCGGTGTGACAAGGAGCTGTTGGGCGACTGGACACTGATCAAGGTCGGCCCATTGCTTCCTCTTGAGGTACTGAGGGCCATACACAGGGCTTTGCTTTGGATTAGAGAGTGGTTTCAATCATCGCGGGAGACACTGGCAGAACTCACCGGTGATAGTGAGGTCGTCGTCATTCACCAGTTCAATTACATTCCAGCCACGCGTCTTGAAGTTGTTAACTTCAAGCTTATCGCTCATTGAATCATACATGCTATCGTAAATAACACAGAGATTACTTAGCTTCCAACTGCCGGCAAGAGCGACTATCTTAAGAGCACTGTCCTGCTGAAACTTGGCATCGTCGATGACGCACCAAATCATATTGTCTAGCAGCTCCAGGCCTGGCTTGTTGTAGAGCATCGTAAGGTTTCTCATTGCAATTGCCTGACCTATGGCACTCGAGATTGCTTGATTTGAGTGACACGGAAGAGTTGTTGTTCTGGAAAAGACGCTGGCAACTCCTAAAGGGTCTACGGCGATGCCCTTTGCTCCAATGAGATGCACAAACAAGTCTTGCCATCTGCCAGCATAATCTGTAGGCAGGTATGTGAGTTAGCACAGAGAAACAGCTAGGTAGGCACTGGGAACGAAACCTACGTCCTGACACAACTAAACGATCCCGGTTAAAGTAGTGACTGTTCTCTGGTGCATATCTCATCACATACTTGAAGAGAGCAGTTCCAATAGAAGCCTTGAGCCTGGAAGATCTACACGACTGCTCAGATAAATGTCATCGAAGCTATTACTTTTGTGATGAGACTTACTCATATCCTTCTTTGTTCAACTGCGAGATGAAACCTACAAGCAGCTTCGAGGCTCTGTCGAGCTTTTGAAGCTCATAAGAGGAGCTTCCACTGGCCCGAGAGTCACCCGATGCTTCAGCGGGAGTGTGATGCATCATAGGGTTCATGGTTGGAAAACAAGCGGACTGTGGGTAGGGGTAAAAAGCAGCAGTCAAGAGTAGACTGATAATCTGGTGGGTCTACTTCTTCATCTATCTATTCATTATACAGCCTCTTGTATCACTTGTTCATGAAACAGGCTTAGTTCACCCCGTGGACAGGCTCGGCACTTGTCACTTTTGAGTTTCAAAGTGCCAATTGCTTTCATTACACTCGTAAATTTAGTTGATCAAAACAACACAGAAGCAGGGGGCGGACCTCGCTTCGAGGTGGGCTCGCAACGAGGCCGGTCGGCAGTTGAGCTCGTACTAATGACCGACCAGGGATGGTGAGAAGCAATAGGTACTCTTCGGGGGCTAAATCTGGAGCCTGGCTCGTGCGAATGAGAAGAGTCAAAGTTGGCCGTACTTTGTCCCATTGTAAGCTTTGAGACGGCTCTTTTGAAGCAGTTTCAACTAGTTGAAGGTGCTCAGCCTTGAGATGTCTGGTCGATGCCACTGTTGAAGGGGAAATAGCAGAGGTTGGCGGGAGTCAAGGTTTGGACTTTATTGACTAACGTCTCACACCGACATGCATGCCAAGTAGGAATAATTAGGTGCACAATGTTGATTCAAACACGGATGTCAGGCCAACAGATAACTTTGATTGCGTGAAGTCATTATTGCCGTGGAAATTACAACTCAATCCTTCTTCTATGATTTCCCGCTACTTCCACAGATATCCATCCACCGCTCAACCTCGGCTTGGAGCACAGCCATACCACCATCCATGAGCTGCATCAGCGGCTCCTGAGCATGCTCTCTGACATAAGTATTCCAACTCTCTAGGATAAGCTTATTGATATTTAATTTAATTGCACCGTTCTGGATGCAGCATTGCATGATCTCAGGCGTAAAGTCGTTTGTGCCGTGGAGCGCCATTATGACGCGACCGCTAACCTGAGTGTTGACGCTAGACAGACGGCCAAAGTCGAGTTGAGGCCCGGTTGGGCCGTAGTCACCGTGGATGTTACCTATGCTCGGCGCAAGAAGGTCGATTTCGGCAGCTAGAAAGTCTTCGACTTCTCTAGGCGTGGTGAAGAGTGCTTGTGTTAAGCCATCAGTCTCAAGCTTCCCAGTGTAGGCATTGGCTTGGTATCGCCTTACTCACCTTCCAGAGATCCCGTGTCCGCAATACCCTCTTCTCCCCCATTGATGCGCCCACTTTCAGCCTCAACAGCGATGCCGTGACCATGGCAAATACTCGTCAAAACCTTGGTCTTTTCTAAGTTCTCGTCGTGGTCATAATGGCTCATGTCCACCATAATCGAATCAAACGGCAAAGTTGCAGCAATTTCTCGGACCTGCGCCTCGTCCTGCGCATGGTCTAGATGGAGCGACAGCGGTACAGTTGCCGACTTGACTGCTGCTGCTGCTGCCCATGCTAACGTCGGGAGCTGTTTGACGGTTGAGGGGAAGAGTAGAAGAATAAGAGGTGACCTCTTGGCTTCGGCAGCGCGAACTAGCGCTGTCAGGTGCTCGATGTTATAACTGAACAATGAAATTGCGCATGAGAATAGTCCATTTCAGTCCGAATAAGGATTACCCACCAAATCACAGCCAAGACACCATACCTGCCCTCGGCCGCCGAGCGGAGGATTTGCAGGGTGCGGTTCTGCTTCTGAACATTCAGCCAGGAATCCATTTCTGCCGTTTCTTCTCGATCACGGATGAGTGGAAAAGTGATTAGGTACTGAAAGTCTCCAATTACTTTCTGATATAACACTCACAGGGATCAACACCCTGGGCTTCCGTACTACTTGTCCTCAATGAGTGGTAGCATAAGCCGAGGGTGGGGCTATCCTCGAGACGAGGGCATCATAACCTCGAAGCGAGGTCATTTCCTTTCACGCTGCCACGCTACCTCCTCGCACTCGCATACGGTAACAAAAAATCCTATTGGAATTGAATTCGGGGTCGTCTCGAAGTTGGTAAATCTGGTCATCAACTACACAACTGCAGAACAATGATTGTGATACAATGTCCAAGTATATCTAAGCTGGCAGCTGGCGATGAATTTCCAGCTGCCAATTCGCAACCCCATCTCAATATCATCAAACAACACTTTCCACTCACTGATAAATCATGGCTCCAACACTAGAACTCAACGAGAGGGCTGCTGTTGACAAGATTCTCGTCAAGCCCCTCCCCAGCAATGGCAGCACTAGCTTTGCTAACCTTAACCTCGAGAGCCCAGAGAAACACGACAGGGTTTTGAAGGTGTTTAGAGCTTTCATCGCGGACCTTTGCCAGCAGTTCAATGGTGGACACCCTGGGTAAGAGATGGCTCCGGTTTCATTCTGCTCACGACACTGACTCTTCAGGTCCGCTATGGGCATGGCAGCCATTGGCATCGCCCTCTACAAGTACGTCATGAGGTACTCTCCCAACAATTGCGAGTACTTTAACCGTGACCGTTTCGTTCTGTCCAATGGTATGTCATCTCTACAAATTCACAGCGAGACGCTCTAACCAAGATCAAGGACATGCCTGTCTGTGGCAATATCTATTCATGCACCTTGTCGGTGTCAAGAGCATGACCCTCGAGCAGCTCAAGTCATATCACTCAACAAAGACCGATTCCCTCTGCCCTGGCCATCCAGAAATCGAGAATGAAGGCGTTGAGGTTACCACTGGTCCCCTCGGCCAAGGAGTCGCTAATGCTGTCGGTCTCGCCATGGCAACCAAGAATCTAGGCGCGACATACAACAAGCCAGGGTATGACTTAGTGAATAACATGACGTGGTGCATGATTGGTGATGCCTGCCTTCAAGAGGGTGTTGGGCTGGAGGCAGTCTCTCTCGCTGGTCATTGGAGACTTAATAACCTCTGCATTATTTACGACAACAACTCGATTACTTGTGATGGCACGGCGGATGTTGCCAATACTGAGGATATCAATGCAAAGATGGAGGCTACCGGATGGAATGTGCTGGATGTGTTTAACGGAGACTCAGATGTTACCGGTACGTTCGCAAGTGTCCCCTTGAATACGCTTCGACTCATGATAACCAGCCATCGTCAACGCCCTTATCGCGGCCCGATCAAGTGACAAGCCAACGTTTATCAACATTCGCACAACTATCGGCTTCGGATCTGCCGAGGCCGGCAACGCAAAGACACATGGAGCAGCCCTCGGGGTCGACGACGTGGCCAACATCAAGAAGTCGTTCGGCCTGGACCCCAACGAGCATTTCCACATCCCACAAGATGTCTACGACTTGTTTGCAGATGTTCGTGTCCGCGGCGATGCCTACGAGGCCGAGTGGCTGGAGACTGTTCAGAGGTATAAGAAAGAGGATCCTATGCTTGGGACGGAATTTGGCCTTCGTGTCGCTGGAAAGATGCCCGACGACTGGACAAAGTGCATCCCCAGCAGGTCAGAGCTTCCAACTGAGCCCACGTCATCGCGAAAGTCTGCAGGTATTCTGACCAATATCCTTGGAGAGAGGATCAAGTCCTTTTTGGTCGGCACTGCGGACCTGACCCCTTCGTGCCATGTGGCCTTCAACAACAAGGTCGACTTCCAATCAGTGAGTGCAGAAGAATAAAGAGTATTGATTGCAATTACTAACGCAACGAATAGCCTGATCTGCGAACCGCTTGCGGTCTCAACGGAAACTACAGTGGCCGCTATATCCACTATGGTATCCGCGAGCACGCCATGTGTGCCATCTCCAATGGCCTCGCTGCATTTAATAAGGGCACCTTCATCCCTATGACAAGTTCATTCTTTATGTTCTACCTCTATGCCGCCCCAGCTGTTCGAATGGCAGCCCTTCAGGGAATACAGCAGATTCACATCGCTACCCACGATAGCATTGGTACCGGCGAGGATGGACCGACGCATCAGCCGATCGCCCTGCCAGCTCTCTACCGCGCCATGCCAAATACCCTGTATATCCGTCCATGTGACTCTGAGGAGGTGGCAGGTGCTTTCATAGCTGCTATCCAGGCCACCGAGACGCCAACCATCATCTCTCTGTCCCGACAGAACCTGACACAGTTCCCGCAGCACTCTTCGCGTGAGGGCGTGAGCGTGGGCGCATACGTCTTTGTCGAGGCTGACGATGATGACTTTGACGTGACGCTAATTGGAGTCGGTTCCGAGATGGGCCTGACGATGCAGGCCAAGGATGTGCTTCTCAGGGAGCACGGCATCAAGTCAAGAGTGGTTTCATTTCCCTGCCCTAGACTTTTCGAGCAGCAACCGCGACAGTACAAGCAGTCAGTGCTAAAGCCTCGCTCCGGAAAGGCTACCGTCGTCATCGAGGCATATGCCGCGAATGGATGGGAGCGGTACGCTGATGCATCGATGTCCATGAGGCGATTCGGAAAGAGCCTTCCATCCAAGGCGACATACGAGTATTTCGGATTCCAGCCTCATAATGTTGCAACTAAGATCAGGGATCTGGTAGAGGAGGTCAAAAGAGATGGGATTGAGATACTGAGGGGTGATTTCAGAGATCTCAATGGCAGCTTGGGAGTTGGATTTGAGCATTAAGAGTTGGTCAGTATTGCTTATTATCCTGCTTAATTGTTTCGCCTATATATAAACTTAAGGGCAAAGATATCGAATTGCTTCAAGTCTTTCATCTGGCTCTGGCGGCAGTGAAGCCCGTTTTTCCTTGCCCAATTGAGTCAAACGGTGATGGTGTAAGGGGTGACAAGGAATTGGGTTATGATCAATTGTATAAGAGGGAAAGACTCTTAGCTAGACAGGACCTAATACTGACTCTATTCACAAGGCAGTGAAACTCGGGCTGGACGTTAGACCAGGGCCTCGATTGTCAATGTCTTTGTCATCATCCCATGCTAGATAATGTTCCCAATTCTTCAAGGCAAGTCATGTTGGTTTAGTGGAGAAATGCGGGGGGGATTCAGCGCTATACCTAGCCTGTTTAGAGCTGCGCAAATATATGGAGCTGATACCCTCGAGACGAGACCCAGACAATTTGCCATCATCCATCTATCATCAATGGACACCAACAACACCCCCAGACGATTTCGCCGCAATAGGCCGTCTCGGGCTCGCGGTTTGAGGACCTCGACGGGCTGGTAGGTATTCACTTACTTACTCCCACTCGACTGGCTAACGCTGGCCTTGATACCGCTGACACTACCCTACAGTCTCACCTGTAGAAGAAGACGCGTCAAGTGTGACGAAGGCAAGCCCAGATGTGTCCAGTGTTCCAAGTCTGATCGAGACTGCCGTTATGCTCAGCAACTGAGTGTCCTAGTACAAGCAGATCAGGACATCTCCGAAGCAGCCAAGTTGCGCCAGGATGCAGTCCCTGAGGCATCTTGCAGCGGGAACAGCAGTACCGGCGGCCTAAGCGTTCCTCAAGAGACGGGCGATGCTGAGAATAATCAACTCAGTATCGAGGGAACGGTCAGCTACCAGGATAACTTCCAAGTCCTTGTTGAACCTTCCGTTACATTCCAGCTCCATGACTCCATCAACATATCCCAGGATGACCAGTCAGAGACAAGTAATGATGGACGTTTGCCTAACGTAGACTTTGATTTCGCTGCGTCTCCGTTAGCCAGGAGCCAAGTTTCGCTACTCAACATCTCGCCATTCGAATGGTACGACCTGCTAGCGCAGGATGCTATCTCCCAGATCCAACGGTTAAACGATGCCTCGAATGGCGAACCACGATGGAATTTTGATGAGAGCACACTCTCTCGCCGGCAGTCACCCGCCCCGAGATCTATCGATACTGACTCCCACGCACAAGACCGTCACGGTAATGGTCTTGGAGTGTCCTCAGTGGATCACGACTCGGCCAACAAACCATGGAACACCACTGAGAGCATCGAGCTCTCGCCAGCCGACCTTGGCTTCTTTCGTTACTACACTGAAATCGTTGGACCGATTCTCGATCTGTTTGATCAAGCGCGTCATTTTACCAATGTCGTACCTCACCTCGCGCTGCGCAATTCGGGACTATTGAAGGCGATACTTGCAGTCGCAGCCAAACACATGTCTCTTGGTGTCAAAGTCAGGCAGCCACAGAGTCATGGCGGAAACTCGAGCGAGAGCAACTCATTGTCGCCGGAGGCAACAACAGGCGGTGGCCAACCCCCGGAACAGAGTCAGATACCTGCGCACATGGCCACCCAGTACTACTACGAGACCCTCCAGTATCTTTCGCAGACTCTACTCTATCCTTCTTATGCAGAATCCCACGAGATTCTGGCCACGGCCATAATGATCAGCACATATGAAATGTTTGACGCTGGCGGTACCTCGACGAGCGGCAACTGGGAACGCCACCTACGAGGTGCTTTCTGGATACAACGTTCCCAAGACAACGATGGCGAGTCCATTGACGGATTGAGGCGAGCCGTGTGGTGGGCGTGGCTTAGACAGGATATCTGGGCAGCGTTCCGGGCAGGGAGGCCGACTCTTACTATCTGGCGCCCCAAGAAGAGACTCGAGAATCTCGATTCTGACGAGCTCGCCACGAGGATGGTCTACATATGTGCCAAGTGCGTCGAGTTTGCCGCTCTGGACAAGACCTCGCCTAGTCAAGATATACAACAGAAGATTGAGCATGGTAACAGACTTCTTCAAGCCCTCGAAAATTGGTATCATATACTTCCTTGCTCGTATAAGCCAGTCATGGTCACAACGGAGCACGACACCATGAGCCGGACACCCTCAACCTCCAAGTCTCAGACAAGGTTCCGCTCCGTATGGTTCCACCCGCCCAACCACGCCGGCGCCATGCAGATGTATCATTTTTCCAAGGCCATCGTACTGCTGAACCAGCCCTCAACCGGCGGCCTCAACGCGTACCGTCAGCGTCAAAAAGGTCTCAACGAAAGCCTCAATATGGTTTGCAGCATTGCAAACGCCTGCCAAAGGGGCGAGCCTGCAATGGCCTTTGTCAATGTCCAGGCCATATTTGCTGGTAAGCGGCAACTCCCTCTGATGAATTGTTGACTAACCAGCCCAGTCGGCCAGTGCGTTCAGATGCCAGAGAAGCAGGCGGAACTCCTTGATACTTTGGACAGGATGTTGGAGATTAGCAAGTTTCCCGCTACAGGGCTCGTGGCGGATCTTAAGTGCGTGTGGCAAGAATAAGATGCCACTTCGCGACTACTGCAAAGCCGACTTGAGGCTTTTCTTGTCCAGGCTGGTTGTATCTTGACTTTCAGCTGATCCAATGATTCAGTCATCGCCGATCTACCAAGCCCTTCACGTTCAAATAGAGTAGACGACGAATCTGGTTAAACTGGGGAAAATGCGTCCATCTCACGCTTCTATTGTTACCGTCCATAGAGATAGATATATCACCAAAACCTGCTTATAACCTTTCACCAAGCCCCGACAATGCCAGCAACCGGGATATCAATACCAGTCGTATACGAAGCCCCATCAGAGAGTAAGTATACATATGCGCCCCCGAGCTCTTTCGGATCAGCCAGCCTCGGCATACCACCATAATACTGCATCTTGAGATCCCAATCAGGCGCCTGGTCTACAAAGTATGTCATAGCCGTCTTAACGAAGCCGGGCGAGATAGAGTTAACGCGGATACCGTGCTTAGCCCACTCCATAGCCAGCGTATGTGCCATGTTCCGCACAGCGCCCTTGGTGGCTCCGTAGGGGGCCGAGGGTGCTGCGCGGTTAGGGCGGTACGAGGTCATGGACGCCGTGAAGACGATGGAGCCCTTGATTCCCAGTTCAATGAACCGCCGTGCGACAGTCGTAGCACAGAAGTATGCACCAAACACATTAAGGTTGAACAGCTTGTCTAGCTGGGCGCGGTCAAAGTCGAGCGCCGGCTGATGCTTCGTCATGCCGGCGTTGGCGACAAGGCCGTGGATGGCGCCCCGCTTGGAGATGATAGCATCAATAGCTGATGTAATGCTCTCCTTAGAGGTGACATCGCAATGAATATAGCCGAGTCGCTTCGGGCTCGCGGCCTGCAAGGCGAGAAACTCGTCGCCGGGCTCGAAAAGGTCCAGGCTAAAGACGGCGGCAGCGTCGTTGGCTAGACAGACCTCTGCGATGCCTAGACCAATGCCCCTGTTGGCGCCGGTGATGGCGATGACCTTATCCTTTAATGTGACTCTCCAGTGGTGGTCAGGGCCTGGCTGGGTGCTGAGAAATGTCGGTGAGGTCTCGGCAGCTGCGTCTGGTGTTGATGCTGGTGCTGCAGCGGTGTTGCCGTTGGCAGGGACGGCGGTAGGGGTATCGAGCGCGCTGGGAGACATTGTAAAGATTGTGTTTATGTGTAGGCAGTTTGTTCAAGACTCGTAAAATTGGCTTCAACTAGGGGGAAGTAGTTTGTATTGTGCGAGTAATAGGACGGTCTCTGATGTTTGATAGAACTCGGTCAAATAGACAGAATGCTACGCGTCTTGTTCTTATGCCCAGAATAGGATGGCAACCTTGCCACAGGGCCGATGAATCGGCCAAGCGTCCCGATGGAGGTAGGCTCAAAACACTCAACAGGCGAGGTCACCGAGACGAGCTAAGGTTACAATCGTTGCGTGGGCTTGGCATGTGTGACCCTCGTAACGAGGCCATCCATGCTCGCTTCGACGCCATGCACCCCCGATCTCCGTCACTTCCGTTAGTGAGATTAGACTACTCCATACCCCATGGGGAATTAGTCACCCGTCCCCGCACAGTTGATGGCCCTTGTTAACGGCAGTGTCCGTTGTTGGGGTTAAAAACAATTTTTGTTCTGCGGTGTGTTCTATAAGTCTGCTAGATGCCACGACGACTCTCACTGTGATCCAATGCAATCAATTACTCAACTACTCGACAATAAATTGATCGAAAATCATTTGATTAAGCCATCTCAGTTCCCACAACAGTTTCAAACCCGGTAACATGGCGGCATACAAAACTAGTACCGAGGCTGTGGACCAGAAGGACTTTCTCGAAGGCCCCAGCCGAGTCGCCGAGCATGTCGAAATAACCCAAACCATCAGCTGGACCGCGGAAGAGGAAAAGAAGCTCGTCCGTAAGATCGACCTGTTTCTCTTGCCGAATATTTGGCTCATGTACTTGCTCTCTTACATGGACCGAACTAAGTAAGTCAGCCCCATTTAGCGATACGAGTGGCTCTAAGCATGTTGCAGCATCGGAAACGCAAAGATCGCCGGCATGGCAGACGATCTTGAACTCACCTCGTCCCAGTACAGCATTATTCTCGTCGTCTTCTTCGGTAACCGAGTTCTCTCACACTCATCACTCCGAGGCCAATCAGCTAACAACCTCAGTTGGTTATGTCATCTTTGAACCGCCGTCCAACATGATCCTGGTTCGAACTCGCCCGTCGCTATACCTTCCTGCCATCATGATTGTCTGGGGCGTGCTCACATGCATCATGTCTGTCGTCCAGAACTACCATCATCTCATCATCCTCCGAGTCTTTGTCGGGGTCATGGAATCAGGCTTCGCCCCGGGCATCCTCCTCATCTTTTCGTCCTGGTATAAGCGAACCGAGCAATCGAAGCGATTCGCCGTCTTCATGTCCGCCGCCATCCTATCCGGGGCCTTGGGCGGTCTTCTCGCAGGCGCCATCACCGGTGGCCTCGAGGGCGCCCATGGGATTCGGGGGTGGCGCTGGCTTTTCATCGTCGAGGGGGTGGCCACCATTGGTTGGGCCATCATTGCCGCGTTTCTGCTTCTTGACTTTCCGGCCAACACCAGGCACCTTACGGACCGTGAGCGAGCCATCGCCATTGCCAGACTTCAGGAGGATAGCGTTACTGTAAGGGGCCAGGGCGGAAAGGTCGGCAAGATGCAGTCATTTATCCTCGCGTTGCGAGACTGGCGGACCTGGGGTTTCATCTTTGGCTACATGGTACGCTCTTCCAGTGATGATACTTTGGCCATTGGCACCTGCTGACTCTGTTTAGGTCATTGTCGGTTCCTCGACCCTGTCCTACTTCTACCCGACCTTAGTCCACGGCCTTGGCTACAGCAGCACTGTTCAAGCGCAGTACATGACGGTAGGAGGACATTCACGGGCTGAGGCAGGGTTACAGATAAGCTAACCAGCATTAAACTAGGTTCCCATTTACGCCGTTGCATTCGTGTGCACCGCCGTCAGCGGCTACTTCGCGGACAAGATCTCAAATTACCGCGGTTTCATCATCGCCGGATGGCTCAGCTTCTCAATGATAACATCCATCGCAGTTTGTGTCGTCTACAACTTCACCGCCCGGTATGCGCTACTCGTTCTCACGGCTGCAGGACTCTGGGCGTCCAATGCCATATCCCTGAGCTTCGCGGCCTCGACGTTTGGGTCCATGGACGCCGAGGTCCGAGCTGTCGCGCTGGCGCTCATGAACGCTCTGGGTAACCTTGCGCAAATCTACGGCGCGTACTTGTTCCCCTCTGATGATGCACCCAAGTATCTCATGGGCTTTGGTGTTATTTCCGGCATGTTGGGCTTTGGTGTTTGCGTCTACATTGTCATGCATTTCCTTGTCCGACGGTTGAAGCCATGAGCGTAGAATAAGGTCCAAGCGATGTTGAAGAATGGAGTATGAGTTGTGCTTCCCCTGGCGATTGAAGCAGTTCAGCCAAGTTCCACGGAAGACGAGAATAAACTGATATCTGTTCATGGAGATAGGGATCATTAACTTGACCTTTTATAACAGAGGAAGACCATGTGTTACGGCTTGGTTCACCGTAAGCTCCTATAAGCAGCTGTACGCACCATTTTAATTGCTACAATAGCGATTATTAGCCCAATCTTTTGCCCGACTCAAGTATTGGTCAAAACGCGCCGCCATTTGTCTTCTAGGCCAATCAAAGCCTTTAGATTTCTACCCCCAGTTCGGGGCTCAAAACGCGTCGCGTTTTCCGTCCCCCTGGCCCGTGTCATCCCTGTAGAAACCAATTGACCACGGCACCCTTCCTGTAGACCGGATCAATGCGGAGGAATCGTAAATGGCTTAGCGTACCTACTGGCCTTATGAGATTCATTCTCCCGAGCGTAATAAACTCTATCTATCTATCTATCATTACTCTACCACTTTCGTGGCAGCTGCTTGAACTTGGCCCTCACAATACGTTTTTCGAACATATGCCTGGATCCACTGGTAAACCCTCTGGGAAAGTGGCTCGCCGCCGACGTCGTGAGCGCCCAAGTAAAATTATGGTCCAAAAGTCTGTAAACACCCCACCCTACAGCAACTCAATCTATTCAACCGTAGTAACTTCACTTATATACAATTAATTTAAATAAAATTCAACAATAATAAAAGTTATATTATTATAAAGCCCTGATCTTTCTCTTTAATATTTTATATACCATCCCCTTATGCAAATATAAGTATCAAGTTGGCAGGGGAGTAAGGAAATCAGAAAGTTAATCTACTCTAGTATAATTACTACCTATGCCAACTCAATACATTTTATTAACTTTGCTTAATCAGACTCGTTATTTTTCAAGAGGTCTAATTAAAGAAACATCTTTTTCATGTTTAGCTTTAATTACTTTAATATATACTTAATTAGGTTAAGATTAAGACTATAAGCAAGCTAATTAATCTAGGATATGCCGTATTCTAATAGCCAGTTTATTATAAACTTTTATATATAAATATAAGTATTATCTTAATAAAAATAGTAAAAAACAGTCTAAATAGGAAGTAAACCTTCTATTAAAGCCTATTAATAACTTAAAGAAGTATATCCTCTTTTTCTAGCAGTTTAATTACAGATTATAATAATAATATTAGATTTCCCTTTTCTCTAAATTACTTCCTAAACTATAATTAATAATTATAACTTTCTATAAACTATTATATTAACTAATTCCCTTATAAACTTCTTATAAGGCTTATAAAATACCTAACCTTACTTATAATTTAAATATAGTTAAACTAATAATTTATTACTAAAAATAATCTAAAGGTATTATAAGTTAAGTAAAAGATTCCTAAAAGGCATCTATCTGCAAACTTTAAAACGATATACCTCTAGTAATTATTTAATATCTTCCTTCTAAGCTTATTATTATAAAAGCCGCTAATAAGCGGTTTCTCTAGATAGTAGAATTCTCTGCATAGCCCTCTATTTGCAGCCGTAATAGTGTCTGATTGCTTGACGTATTGTAGTTAGTAAGATCTCGCTACCTAGATAATTAATAAGCGATTTATATATAATCCTATAGTCACGTTTGAGTAAAACTAATATATACCGAACCTGCTGAACTGTGAGTTTTCTAGGACGCCCAGAACGACACTTTTTATCCAAGGCTTAGTAAGTTTTCCAGCGTTGAAAGACCTTAAAGATTGCGGCAGGTGAACATCCAGCCTCCTCAGCAACATCTCGGTATGACCTCCCGCTTTCTACAGCTTGAACAATGAGAGCTCTTGCAACCTCGCTGAACTTATGGTTTCTCTAGCGCCCTGCATATATAATTGATAAAATTCCGTTCTTTTATGACATGTTTTGTCGAAGTTGTGGACGTTTGAAGAAATTGGATGAGTTCACTTTTATCGTGGTGGATTACACGTTGGCGGGGCAGTGTTTACAGACTTTTGGACCATAATTTTACCCAATTTGAGAAAGAGAAGCCAAGTTTCTGTGACAGAGGCACCACCTACTAGCTTAGAGTATGCGACAGACAAACAGATCGGGCGTCGACTGCAGCTAAAGAATGAGCGATATTGGATTGGGACTCTGAAGAATTCAAGCCGGTCGCCGTCTTCAGGTGATCCTGGTGGACACGTCTATCTTTATTTTGTGAATAGAGACGAATATTTCATGCAAGGCAGTAAGTGGAGAGATGTCCCTTGGGACAATATCGAATTTAGGAAGGGATTTGCTGTTCAGAATAGACAAGCTGGCGAAGGAGGTGATTGAAAAGATTTTGCGCCAGTCGCAGAGGCACTACTCGATGTTGTTTATATTGCGCAGTCGTGTTGGGTGAAAATATATTTTATGAAACTTGGCTTTTTTTCATTTTTTCATTGAGATGAGAGTTCTCGGGTTTATATCTCTAGTTAATTTTATCTAGGACTTTGAACTTTAAACCTAGGACTTTCAGACTAACAGTCTGAATCCTGAAGATAAGGGAGATTCCCAGTTTTCCAACAGGGACTCGGGCTGCACTAGCCAGGAGGTATGGCGGCGCATCTGGCTTTCTATAGAAATGTAGATATGGTATCTGGATGAGGCAACGGAGCAAGCTTCGGCCCCTGTTCTTGTATGTAGTCTCCCACCTCGTCCTCTCTAACTATGGCCGCTGTTTGGCATACGTTGTCGCAGAACTGGCAGCTATAGTTTACATATCGCCTGTAAGACTAGGAATATCTATAAGCCGGTGGTTTCGCTGGTGCTTGCGTGCCTGCACAGAGCTGATTAAATCTTGTTGTTTGTCGCCAGTCCTGTCTCGGCTGCTCGAGACTGGCCCTCGCATGCTGCCCACGGGCATCGCCGGTCGGACTAGTTGGCTATCGCGTTTAACAATCCAGTAGACTCGAGATGATCTAGATGCCTATGCTTGCAAGTAAACGTACTTAAAATATATCTTAATGTCTGCCCTCCTGGTAGATCTCCGCGGGTGTTGAGGGTATTGGATAGGTCTTGGCTGTAATGCTATATAATGACTGTGAGGTTAATAGTGTGATACTTGTAATTCAGACAGGAGAATCCATCGTAGGACCGGATCCTCTTGTCTTTAGGCAAACCATCTATAAGAGGCGTAGCCTGGTCTAGGCTTTTAAGGTCTAGTATAGCTAATACCTTGCTAAGACCTTTCCGCTGAGATAGAGAGATCTTGTGTTTATCTCTCAGATGATTCGTAGGATGGGATCCATTGGGGACATGGCGTGTCTGCAGTTATCATCGAAGCAGATTAATAGTCGTGCCTTAGGATGAACTATAAGGAGAGCGACTTGAGAAATTGAGAAGGCGATTATTATACCCCTGCAGTTAGGGCGATAGGTGATAATTCTATAATATTGGCCCTTTCTGTGCTATTATATACTGTTACTGCTTCTATATTATATTCTTTTACTATATGATATCTTAAGCCTGGAGCAGAAGGCGACAAGGTATAAGGTGGTAGGAAAGGAATAAAAGTGGAAAGTTAGAAGCTTGAGTATATATAAATAAAAAGTAGATAAATAACAGGTTATTTTTATTAACTTTATTACTATATTAATATATATAGATAAAAAGTATAGAATTTAGAGATAATCTTTCAGGAAAATATTAGGGAATTTTAAGATTATCCGGGTTAGTATAGATAAAAATTATATTATATAGCAGGATTTAGTTTAACCTTCGTATAGTAGGAGGCGGAAGAGTTACCCGTTATACGCACCTGCACAGGCCGTGAAGTTAAAAAAACCGAGAAAAGGGTTAGGGTTAGGGTTAATCCATACCGGGCAAGCGTTTGAGAATCTGTTGATTATTGAAGCCTAAGTAACTGGCGCCGTCGCGGAACCAAGGACTGGGTTAAAGCGTGTCGGGGACATGCAGTAGCCGTCTCAAAAAGTTAATGATCTAGGGAGAGCTAGTTCGCTTACTAGGTGGGCGAATGCTTTGTCGCCTGCTAGGGCCTTTCGGATGATGGTGTCAATTAAGGTTTAGTGTGAAGGTGAACGGAAACCGGGGCACTGGTGGATTGGCCAGAGCCGATGAACGCTTTTTGGGTTACCTTAACTCCCGTGACAGCGGGCGTTGGGAGGTCACTGGCCGCTGCTGAGTAGAGCATCAAGATGAGGGGATGATGTCAAAGGGTTCATCATGAAAGGCAAAAATCAGATGGATGCCAGGTCAGACCTCGAGCCTCTCGAGGGCCGACGGTTTCGTCCACCTTTCTGGTAACGGCGTGATTTTCTTCCGCATTTTGTCGTACCAGGACTCAGTCGCACCCCCAATTTGAAGGTTCTTCCGTTTCGATTCGATTGCAGCGCGGTCCGGCCATCGCGTTTGGCAACCTCTGGAGTCCTATTTTCCGCTCGGCAAGTCACGGTCAGTAGGTTCAGCCATATTTCTTCTGAGGTAGGCAGAATTTTTTGCAGTGTTGTTGCCTGCCAACCTGCGCTCGGTGCTGGTTGCCCACTGAGTCAGGTTGCCCACTGAGTCAGGTTGCGGCTCGATGGATTGCACCTAGGGCAGGCACGCCCCTCCATTTGGTGCGGCAATAGAAAGAGGTCAACCCCCCGATTATCTCAACTGGTAAAAGATGCTCCTATCTGCCCCAAAACTGCTCCTCACAGTAGAGCGTACTTGAATGGCTGACTCTCCGCACGATCCTTCCCACTCCGAACTTCTCCACAAGGGCCCTTCTTTCCCTCTGGAATGCTCAGTTTCATCCATGTCCACTCTATGCATTTGAATATCAATGTCGTGACCGGCCACCGTGAGCAATTGTACTGATGGACATGTCGAACCCAGCGGTCGCGAAGTTGGTCGCGGTGACCGTTTCGCTGATTGCTTTGATCACGCTCTCTGTCTCTGTCCGGTTCTTCGTTCGCAGCGTCCTGTTGCGGAGCGTGGATTGGGATGATGGTATGCTACCTTGGAGCCTGTTGTAAATCTTCAATGCTTACATTGAGAACAGTCCTGGTTTTCCTCAGCTACGTGCGTTTTGCTCTATCCAGTCAGGAGAGCCGACATCACTGACGATACCAGTCCCTGACCGTTTTGCTTTGCAGCTGTGTATTAGCCAGTTAGTCCAATGGCGTGGGCCCGCCTTTCTGGGAATGGTAGGACTGATCTCCGCAGTGACCAACTTTGGCTTCGGGACACCAGTAGACGATGTCTCTGGCGACGATCTCCGCCAGTTCCTAAAGGCAAGCAATATTGTAACCTTGCTCGAGCGTCGAACTGACCCCCAGCCTTGCAGCTCCAATTCGTCACGCAGCTGGCGTACGTGTGGGGCTTTGTTACGGTGAAGATGTCCTTCGCGGTCCTCTATCTTCGATTGTTTCGCGGTCACGTCTCCCAACGCATGAACCAACTTCTTCTTGCTGTGTTGGCGGCCGAGGGCTTCGAAGAGACCATGGTCGTTATTTTCCACTGTAAGCCTGTGGACAAGACGTGGAATCCTCAAAAGGAAGGCACATGCCTCAACTTGAAGCTCTTTTACTACATTTCGGTGAGTACTACAGCTGCAAGACTACAAACAGATATGCTTAGAGTGACCTTTCCAAGTTCGCTATAAAATTCGTTACGGATGTCTGCCTCTTCATCCAGCCCATCCCTGCCGTCTGGAAGCTCCAACTGTCGAAGGCGAAGAGGCTCGGTGCGATCTTGATGCTTTCGCTCGGTTTGTTGTAAGTAAATCACCAACACACATTGCTTCCATGGCTCGCCAACTTATCCGTACAGTGTCTGTATCATTGCGATCATTCGAGTGAGCTTCATCAGTCAGCTTAGGACAGATGTGACTAGTACGTGTCTTCTAATACCCATTCAGCGTCACGCTCTTACATTAGACAGAGGACCTGGTGGTCCCAATGGTCTGGTCTCAAGTCGAAGTGTCCATCCTTGTCGTCTGCGCGTCGATTCCGTCTCTCAGACCATTCCTCCAGTGCTTCCCTGCCGTCAGCAAAGCTCTCGGCCTTTCATCAAGCAAGGACTCGAGACCAACTTCCAACGTAGGACGATCCCCTCGCGTGGTATCGCTACACATGATAAGTTGGAGCAAGGCGAAACAATCGCATGTAGAAACGAACAACCCTATTCATATAAGCACGGGCTGTAACGTTACCGCCACCGGTTCCTGGAGCGCCCATAGTAGCACAGAAAATATCTTCCCTCAACGGCACTCCGGACCAAGTGGAATTGTCGTCACACATGATGTCGAAGTCGGCGTTGAGAGAGTAGATGCTGGCGAGAGGTTGAGCAACGATCAAGGGCAGATAGATGCGGTTGAGGATCGAGCGCTCCATCATATCGGAGACTCAATTTAGGATTATTCTAATAGGTATGAAGTGCAAGAAGGATTTAAAACTCTTAGATTACGGCATACCTGGTTGTTGAGAATTAATTGATTACATAGAGATGATGTAGGTTGAGGGATTTTTAATTGGCTCGCATGTCTGATCGGTTCGCTTATTATGTACGTTAGTACCCCATTTCTCTAACATAACACAATATGCTCATTTCAACACTGTCAGTAATCAATCTTTCACTTCTTATCTCGTCCGTCAATTCTGACGCATGACAGGACGCTTTATCGCACGCGAAAAACGTAATTCATAACTACAACGTCCTCCCGAGCTCGCCAAACAGCCACATGAGCACGACCCTCACCGCTGTTACGAGTTACCAAATGCCGAAGCCATCACCCGACATTGAGGCTTCCGCAAGCCACATCAGCTAATGGCCAATGGCGCCACGCATCACTCAAAGCCACCAATTGAAACCGTGGCAATAAATAACTTGAACCTTGTCGTTTTACTTGTCTCGCCATCATCATAGGGCGCTTGAGTTGGGGTGACAGCGCGTCTCCTGACCCAACTCAGTAACGACCTGGCTAAAATAATTGGACTCAGGACCAATCGTTCTATTTGAGAGGGATGATGCCTCACGGAAGGGGGCGCATTATGAGGACACAGAGCGACCTCGTCGCAAAGAGAGATATTCTCATTTGCTGTACGACATATCACTGGGAGCAGTTCAGGTTATAAGGACAGATTATTTAGTGGGGGGAAATGCGGGACCCGACAGCAACATTGATACGCTTTGATTCTTATATACCATCTCTGATTTTAATAAAAACAACTCATGAACATACCATCTGAAGCGCTTCTTTCTCTTATTTGTCTTGATGTCATTCAACTCGAGCATAAACTTGACTGTATTTCGCTCGCCAAGATGTCAGAGTTTTATTTATTGCTAAGCCTACCAGAATAGATAGTGAAGTCCTGCTACGCCAGAAGGAGATTAAATACATCTATATCCTAAGCAACAGGCCCAATATTAAACTGAACTAAATTTAATGGAATGTTTTATATAAGAATGATTTTCTTTTATTATGCAGTATTAGCTTTTTAGCCAGGCCTCATTAGTTAAAATCCCAGTCTGCTATATAATCTGTCCCTTAGCACAACTAAAGGGATAAGAGCCTCATCCCCTAGTCCCTTTTATATAAATAGTAAGGACTAAATACCAATAGAAGCCAAATATACCCTCTTATACCCCTTCACCCTAATAGCTTACCTGCCCTCTCTTTCTTTTAGGTAGATTCATAATATACTCTAGTCTCATTCTCAACTTGGATGCCATACATCCTTGAGGTGTTAGTGTTGCGGTTGGGCACCTCATCAGCGCAGCTAGTAATAATAGTATTATTATTGCCGCCGCGCTCCGGGTAGCAATTAAAGTCCATGTCGCCAGATGACCCGTCCTCAAGCTCGGCCAGCTGTTGCTGTGAACTATTGTCGTCGACCTCTTTTGCCCGAGTAATGCTGGCAAGCTTGATGCCCTTGCTGCTGGTCAAGCCACTAATATGATTAGGACCAGTTGAGTTGGATTTGCAGCTATGTCTCGAGCCAGGTATGAGCTTGCGGAATATAGGTCGTATTATCGGGAGACAAGCTTTTTAAGGGAAATTTAGCATCAAAACCAATAATGCCATTTAGGTTAGATTTATATATTACTCACAAGAGATGATAGCCAAATAAGCTTCTGTGCCTGCCCAGATAATGACTCCTCTAATATCCCTCGCCATTTCAGTCGTGTGGGGATGTAGATTAATTGCCTCGACAAGTACTATAATCGACGCCGCACAAACACTATGAGAAAGATTCAGTTATTTATCTGCTAACACAGGATCATAAGGAAAAATGAAAGAGAGATAGAGGCGGATAAAGACTTACAAAATACCAAACATAAACATGGCAACGACAGCAATCTTTTGACATAGGCGAAGCTTGAGGTTCTTGACCTGAAATACAGGCAGCGATAGGACAGCAACTTCAAGCATTAGATGAACCAGTGTTGTGCCAAACATAAACTTAGCGGGATTGACTCTGCACACAGCGTCCTTGATGTTGTGGTTCCAGTAGGCCGAGACTGGTATACAGTGGAAGATGGTCATAAATGTTCGGATAGTGAGCCAGATTACAGTGCTTCCCTGGAGGACGTAGATCCCCAGTCGGATATTGGAGACACTGAACAGGCGCCAGTAGAAGCCGAGGATAGCCAGCTTGGAGAATCCCAGCGACATTGCGTATAGGAACTCGGCCATAAAAAGCCCGAACCGAGCATACTCCTCGACTCTCTCGGCTGGTAGAGGAACATCCTTCTTCAGATGACCTAGACCCATGATAGTGGCCCCTGTAGAGAAATAGTTAGTATGTTAATATTTTGCTACCTTAGGGGAGGTTCCTAAGTCCTTAAGTAATTCACAAACTTACAGTATATCGTAAAACTGAAGTAGAGAGCAGCAGCGACCTTATGAATAAAGCGATTAGCAATGTAAATACTAAGAGAGAGAGAGAGAAAAGTTTAATCATCAAGTTACAGCACCAGGCAACTCACCCAGGAAATCACAGCAAAACAATCATCCCACCACAGTGGCACATCTGTGATCTTTCGAGATACCAGACGACAGACTAAGAGAATTGTCGCGATAGAAAACGTAATGAGCATAGAACTCATCACGCTAGCATCTGGCGTGTAACTCATTGCGGCGGTTATTGTCGGCTATTAATGTTGAATTCAGACTGGGTGAAGAACAAGATAGATGGATAAGAAACTATTGTGATATATGAAACCGACAAACAGGGTTTCGGGGCGGGGGCTATATTAGAAGAATACTGAAAGATATAATACTATCAGTATCGTTGGGCCTCACCTATTACCTGCTGGCTGGTAAAGGAAGATGAGATATAATGACTGGGGATAATCCTCTACGGGCTGATTGATCTATAAGTATTTTTCGGGAGACAAACAAGGTACGACCTCTACTGAGGGACAAGGGAAGAGACAGGATCTACAGCGCCAAGAGGAGGAGGAGGAGAAAGGGGCAAGGGGGATACTACTAATATGTCTTGAGCTGGCGCTGCACTAAATCAAGGCCAGTGGCAGCAAGATAGACTAAGGACAAACGACGTAGTATCTAGGATGAAGATCACGCAGTCCGCGTCTGGAGAACCCTGTAGATCGACATTATACCCAAGTAGTATGATATCCCTAAATTCTCATTAGTTGGATGACAGGCCCTAGCAGAGGGCTTCCTCTGGATAAGGTTTCGCCGCGGATCGATGAGCCTTTAGGGAGAGACCTAGGCTTATGATCTATGAGGAAATCTTCAGATTGTGATGGCCGACTAGATATGTGCTGGTTTTATTACGCCACATATTAGCGCTTACACTGACCCTCTCGAGGGGGTCTGGCTTGGGCGTAGGAGGATGCAGCTTAACAGTCCTCCCGAAACAAGAAGAGTAAAAAGCTCTTACGCCAGTGACAATGCCGAAAGTATTATTACTGCATGTGAATCTAGGTCAATCTATATGGAGCGGCCGAGTAATGCTAGCGTGGTTCGGTACATGAACCCCTGACGGCACATTAGAGATACCCGAGTCATCATCGATGTGGGGCTTAGTCGCGCTTGGCCATTATTCATGTCCCACACTACATCTTAACTAGGTGTTTTTAGGGTCTGTTTGAAACCGGCGTTTGGTTCGGTTAGGCCTGAAAAGACACTCTTCAACCAGCGGTTAGGTCGGGCACTGTTGCCATTAGGCGCCAGTACAGTTATTCTGCTATATTGCCCCAGCCCACAATTTATGTCAGCGGCTTATAACTGCCGGGATAACTAAGAAAGTCTGACGCCACAGCTCCTACATCACACGATGTAACCGAATCATGTAATACTGAAATGAAAGTTTAACCTGCCTGTTGCATGACAGCGCAATGTAGATAGAAAAATTTACTTTTATTAGTTTGTTGATCGAGGAAAAGATCAGCTGCTGTTATTTATGCTAATGGTGCAGTCATGCTAACTTAAGGTTCAAGTACAGCTCGTTGCGGAACCAGCTCTGGCCGAGGAGCAAGTCGAACGCCGAGACTCCAACTGCAGACAGCAGAATGGTCATTTCGTTATCTTGTAGATTGCAAGATGACACAGACTTGATACTATCGTGGATGATGGCTAATGAGCAGGGTTCAGGCGACACTGGCATTTTCCTTTAAACATTCGAAGGCATACTTGGGCATTATAGAGTAGAGGGAGCTCTACCCACTTCTCTACCCTACCCAGGCAGAGGAGTGGTCTCCTCTACCCCACCCGGGTAGAGTGGGAAGAGTAGTGGGTAGATTGGTAGATGTTGGATACGCAGCTATACGATGGGGTGAGTGTATTCAGATGTGGAGCAGAAGGTTGTGATGTTATTAATTGTCGACTTGATTCTTTTTTGATCAATCTGTCAGGGAGGGGTGGGTTCAATTCCCCTTCCTTTTCTGGATACAAGAATAATATTATAATAAAGGAAAGTGGAGCCCTTTCCCAGCCGCCAATCTAACAAAGGAAAGCCCCACTTCCCTTCTTAAGTCTTTGTCATTCTAAATTAAGCCTCGCTTGACTCTGCTTGACGGACCTGCTTGAAGGCCGACTTCTTCCAGTGTTCAGCATCCCATCTTCAGCAGCTGAAGCATGGTCTGCTAACTTGAGGCTGTTCAATGTTAGTAGCCAGCTGTGATGTTAACTGGTGTTGATGTTTAATTGTTCTGTTTTCCCTTTCAACTCAGCGTCCGCCCTTAAGTCACAGGACCAGGAACCCGTCGCCCCGCTTTTGGCCTCAACACCATAACTTTCATCAATTCAATTCCTTAAAAAGTCAATATAATACCCTGATTTTCATCCAATTTAGACCCACAATGCCTTCTTATATAGAAAAAGATATACTTAAAGCAATTAACCTTATTTAAAACGGCTAATTATAAGTTAAGGCTGCTAAAGAAGCGTCCATACCCCGATCAAGCTTACAAGACCGACTTAAAGGCATTATGCCTCGAAATAAAGCTTATGCAGATTAATAGCAGCTTAGCCTAACTATTAAAGAGGATCTTATTAATTAGCTATAGCTTTAAGATACCCTTTATATATTATTAATATATTTCTAAATTAGGTAATTTATTATTTAGATTTTAAGCTTATAAGGCAATTATAATCCCCTTAGTAAGTATTAGGTTATTTAATTTCTTATATATATAAAGTAAATTAGAATACTTAAATTAATTAAAGTTAAATATAAATATATTAAAGAATTAAAAGTAATTAGTATTTAAACTTAGTTTTACTAATTAAAGGACCTTGAGATTATAATTATTTATAGCTATAACTATTAAAATATAGATAAAATAGGTATTTTCTAAGAGGTTAGTATTAATAGCTTAATTATTAGCAAGTTAAAAAAGAGGAAGATGTTAAAAAAAAGCCCTTATAGGCGCAGCTATGTAATTACAACAGAAGCTATATATACTAATAATATAGCCCTTTTTCCCTTTATTATTTTTAAAGAGGATTAGCTTTAATAATAATAATTCCTAAAACATACTTCCCTTTTAGGCAATTAGCACTTTATAACATTATTAAAGAAATAGATTACTAATAAGATCTTAGCCCTATAGCTTAAGGAGGTCTTTATTTTATATATATTATTTAAAAAGGAAGGGGAAAAAGAGGCTTCTTTTCCTAGACAGGCATAAGAGCTATTTAATAAATAAATTTATCTTCCTTTATTTAAGTATAATATATACCCCTATTACCTTCCTTTATATATATTATATTCTTTAGCCTTTTAATTTAACTATATTTAGTATATTAAAGATAATATATTACTAAGAACTTAAGATAGAAGCCTTACTTATTAAATAAAGAAATATAACTAAGGCTGCCCTTTTAAGGTAATATTTTAAGGCTTAGGCCAGTGCCTTTACTAAAGAGAAGATCCGGGCTACCTAGCTTTTATTAGGCTTATAGCCTATTAATATTATAAGACCGTTATTAAGCAAATACATAATACCAGATAAAAACAAAGCTCAAGCTAATAAATTAAGTAACTTAAGTATATAACTAGCTAAATAAGAGCTCTTAATTTCCTTATCTCTATATACTATATAAGCTATTTATTAGACGCTTTAGGCCGCTTAAGAATGCCTATAACTAAGAAATAAAGTATCTAATTAGATGCTTTATAACCTATGCTTTTAAGACCGAGTTCTTCCTGGCCTTTTATGCCACTTTTTCAACTACTATAATAGAGAAAAATATTAAGAGGGGTTTTAGAGGAATTAGGATTAATCCTCTTAACCCAGAAAGTATAGTCTCAAGGCTTTATATATAACTACAGACTCTAATACTAGCTATAAAGGAGTCTAGAAAGGCTTAACCTTGGACTTCAAGGATACTAAAGACAGTCCTTAAGGTTTAAATATTAGTCTAAATACCTCAAAAGGCGAATTAGAAGACATAAGAGTAGCTCTATAGAGTCTATTCTAGGAGCTCTTAAGTCTTTTACTAAGGGAATAAAGGCAGTTATGTATGAGATGGCATTTTAATAAGGGCTAAGATCTAAGACCTTTAATGTTACGACCCTAGCGGTTCCATCACGTATACCCCATATTTTCCTCTAATCACCATAATCCCCGCTAAAGACAATCAGCGCTAAGAGTCTATAATTAGAGCTAATTTATTATAATTAATACTAATCTACTTAAATTACTACTAATCCCTTAATAACCTTACTAATTATTTAAGGATACCTCTAGTATATAGACTATATTTATTAGTACTTTATAAAACTTAGCTTACTAGCTATTAATAAGACTTCTTTACTTAAATATACCTAACCTGCTTTATTTACTATTAAGAGATATAATACTTTATAACTACTTAATATAATGCCTTATAACTTTATAAATATTAAACCTAATATAAACTAGTTTACCTATTTAAAACCTATTTTATTATATATTAATAGCTCTTATTTAGAATATATTATATTAATAACTAAGTAATATTATACTATTAAGATATCTAGTAATACCGGCCTAGCACTTCCTTATATTAAAGTACTACTTAGTACTGCTAAAATAATAACTAAAGTTTAATAGCTTTATAATACTATTTATACTTTACAGGCTTAAATAAATATATATCTTACTATAACTACTAATAAGGAAAGTAATAAACAAGACCTTAAAGAGGCATTTAAGCCCCCTAAGCTAGAACCCTTTAGAGGCCAAGCTGTAAATATAATCCTATTTTTAACTTAAATAAAGGCTTACTTTTGCCTTTATAAGAATAAGCTAAATACCCTTATAAAGAAACTCCTATATACTATAAGCTTAATTTAAGGAGATATAAAAGATTAATTTAAACCTATTTTAAGAGATTTCCTTAAGAATAAAGAAGAAGTATAAGACTAGGATACTTAAAATATTTTTAGAAATTAAGATAATTTTAAATAAACTCTTAAAGATAATTTTAAAGTAATTAATAAAGAATAATAAGCTATAGCAGAACTACTTATACTTAAGCAGTATAAGTCCTATATAGCCTACTTTATTAAATTTAAATAGCTTATATTTAAGACTAAATAAGATAATAAAGCCTTAATAGAAATCTACTATAAAGGACTAAAAGAAGAAGTTAAGGATAAATTATACCTAGCTAATAGACTTAAAAAAGGTCTAATTATATATATTACTATAATAATTAAGATTAATAAATAATAATATAAATATAAAAGAAAGAAAGCTAATTATAAATAAAATAATAACTTTAACTTATATTACCTTAATTAGTAATAAAATAATAATAATTAAGGTAATTCTTAAAATTAAAGATAGTAATAAGGCAACTAGTAAAATAATACTTTATATAAAATATAGTTAGGACTTATAGTACTTAAAGCTATTTAGCTAGGTAATAATAATAATAACTAAAAATAAGATATATTTAGGTATAAGTACTATAACTA